AGAAAAGCAGTAGATGAAGAGATACAAATTGTAAGGGAATGCAAGAAAAACCTACAAATGTAACAGAATGGGTAGAAACTAACAGAAAACTGGGAGATGTCAGATATAAAAATATTAAAAGAAACAGACAGTGAACAGATATAATTATATACATAAAAAATTCATGAGAAATTAGAACATAATTGACAAGAATATAAACTGTGTAAATAATTTATAGATCTTATGTTGAAACTGTTTTTACTTTAATTAATGTAAATATAGAAAAAGTAAAAAATATTTTACGATATATTGTAAAGGACAACCTCCAACCAAAAGGCTGGAAGCCTAAGTAATAAATATATATAATATAATGAAGAAGAATGCTTGTTGCTAGCATGTATACCAAGTCAAAACAACTTACTTTGATACCAAGATGGCTTATTGTTTTAGTTTCATGCTGCCACAAATGCCTGCTTTCTTCTGCTTCACGAGAATAAACTGAGTAAGTTAACTTTGCTTCAAACAATCTTCTTTCTAAATCTTCATTTTTCTTCTTCAAGTCCTTGACAGTATTTTCCAGTTCCTGTTTTTTCTGCAACAATATTTGTTTTTATAGTTTATCAGGATAATACTTTTTAATAAAACTCACATTATCAAAACAGACATAAACTTTGTTATAAAAAGTACTGAGACAGCACACTCCCTACTGAAATATCATGGGGATCCCGTGGTTCATCTGGTATCTATGAGAGTAATGTGCTAAAGAAACAAAAGACCACTGTGTGTTCCATGAAAATATTTAAAAATACTGTAAAACGAAACTGGCATTAAATCTCTCATCCAACACTTTAAAAGATTTCAGGGCTGTATTGTAGCTCTCAAACCATTTTTCATTCATAAATAAGTTACTGACTCTCACAGTGCATTGTCCATAAAACTAGAAACAACAGAAAAAAAACCACTTAGCAGTCAATACTGTTAAATGCTGTTTGCTTCAAATCGATGGGTCTGGGTTTGATGGCAACCTGGAGAACACTTTGTATATGACTGTGTCATTCCAAAAGTGAAATAAGAGTAGTGCCATAGTGTGGGCATGTTTTAGCTGGTTTGAGATAGGTCCACTAGCAATTGCTAAAGAAGCCATGAATGTCTCATCATTCCAAGCAATGCAGCATTGACGGAATTCTATGAAAAAGGTAATACTTCTTTCAGCATATAATGCACTATGCCATTTCCAGCAATATCTTAAGGTACATAATATCAAGAGTCTAGACTTCACAATCCAAAACCCCCAATGGAAACCATCTAAATCACTCTTGGACATTTATGAATGTTCTTTGAGGAAAAGAAAGAACAGACCAAAAACCTTACTATCCTTTTATACATCTTAAAAGACAAAAAAACAGTCTTTTTCAACAGACTCTTAGAATATTACTCATGCTAAAAGAGAACCCATTCCTTCTAAAGGTGCACTGTATAATATACAAGTTAGCTCAGTTAAATTTTCATGTTGTTTTTTTTTATGACATGCAAGTTAGAACTATAACCATCACATATTTAAAGTAAATAAAAATATTATGTTATTCAATGTAGGGAAAGGAATTAATGTATAATATTTTATAACCCAATAAGCTACTTACTGATTGTTCTTTTCTGGCAAAACTTCATGGAATTAGGATAGCAGTAATGAATAGTAACAAGTTTATTAAAAAGAAAAAAAAACTGAAGTTGAGCAACTCTGTTCTTATTATCTTATTCTAATTAGCTTTACTATAAATCATATAACTTAATTAGCAACCATAAAGATATCACATTACTATTTAAAGACACAGTAATGAAGTTAAAACATTAATGTTTTCAGTGAGAATAGACATTACCCATTGTAGCTTCAACTAACAGAAGTTATTTTCTAATGGCAGGTCCTTGGGAAACTTGAAATAATCCCTTAGGGAAAGAATTATTTACTTCTTTCAATAAATGCAGAATTACGGCATATAAGTTGTAAAAACATCGATAATATTGAGCTCTAAACAATGTTCTCTATGGTAATGGTCAAATGGGCTTAACCCCATATGACCTTTATTATATATGAGAAACATTTTGTTTCTTTTTTTTCTAAAGAACAACATTCCTAGAGATCAGAATTTTTTCAACCCCCATAACACTATATATAAAAGACATATTTATAGCCTTTTTTGTACATGTTAAATGGTGAGCTAAAAGTTCTGCTGCATACAAAACAATTTTTATATTTGACAAATTAATTCCCTTCAGCAAAACATGTAAACTAACATGCCCTCTATGTTTAATTAATCTAGAAAAGAAATATGACAATGAAGTTTTAATGATAGCAACATTTCTTTACAATACAGTACAGATACTGTGCTCATTGTTCATTGGTGCTGTAGTTACAGGATAAAAAGGCTTGAGTACCTCTGCTATCATGTGCTGTAATGAAAATAAGGAACCAATTTCCAAGAAAATAATAGAGGGAGTCACATGCATCAGGAGGAATCCTATTAGTGGAGAGTTGTTGGATGATGATTTAAATGCAAGACGCAGTTGAACAACATTGATCATAAGGTATGTGGGAGTTCAAAGCTTGTGGCATGTGAAAAAATATTTGCATACAGAGAGCAGCACTGAACGAGAATAGTTATATATGTGAAAAGAGGTAATGTACTGTATTGGAATATAATGATTCTACAATTTGGAATATAAATATACATACCTGACTAGTGTTTTCTAAATTAGATCCTAGGTCTTCTATCTTTTTATTGTTTTTTTGCACTGTGGCTTCCAGATTTTTCCTATGTGTTTCCGACTTGTGTAAACGTTGAAGAACTTCAGCAAGCTGAATTGGAAAGAAATGGCAAAGAAACATCACTGTAACCTTGTTGTACTAACTACTTACAATACTTATCCAGCAGAAAAATAAGTAAATAAAAATACCATACTCCTTTCTGTTTGAGAAATAAAATGTTATAAATTCTCACACAAGATGCCCACATGTTTCAACTAAATACTACATTCCCTTTCTGTTTGGCAAAAAGTTTTTGTAAAATCTCACATAATGTGCCCATATTTTTACTCTAAATACCACATTTCCTTTTTGGTTCCCCCAATAAATGTTTTAAAATTTGCTTTTATGTAGTTTACTACAGTTACAAGACAAACTAACCCAACACCAGGTAAAATAGTGTAGCTGAAGTAAATATTATGAAGTTCTCTATGTACAATTGGTAAACTTATTCAACTAAGGTAAATCTTGCAAGCCATGAAATTTATAATGCCTCTTCTTTCATAATGACATACATTATTATCAAAGATGTAAAACTAAATATTCTGTTCACCATTTCTATATAACACTTACTCATTTTCAGCAAGAATATGTCCATTATTGAGTGAGTTGTACAGACTAAATATCTATATTTCCATGGGATACTTTGGTATGGCAAGATACTTTTGTGTTTGTTAAATGGTTATAGATAACAATAGGATATGCAGTGCCAAATTCATGAGTAAGTACTAATATGGTTAATACAGTATAAAACATTGTATGAATTAGTAACCATCATTGATTTATACATATAAAAAAATTAGATGGGAAAAGTTCAAATACCCATGCATTTCAGAGAGTGAAAATAAATAACGATACCAACACTGTTTTGTTATCGTATTTGCAAAAATTAACAACTATAAATAAATGACTAATGTATAATAGTATACAAGTTTGCACAATTCATTTTATTGTAAAATACAGTTTCATATAATAAAATCATCAAATATTCAAAGTTAACAATATATTTTGCATTCAATTGATTGAAGTTTTCATCATGACATCAGTAAAAATGTTTTACAATTTTTTTACAATACAGTACAGACATCTTGTTCATTGGTGCTGGAGTTACAGGGTAAAGAGGCTTGAGTACCTCTGCTATCATGTGATGTAATGAAAATAAAGAACTAATTTCCAAGAAAATAATACACGGGTTTTGAGTTTTCGACTCTTTTCAAGCAGAAAATCTGTAGGTAAGTTGTGTAATGACAATGTATGATCCAACTCTGAACAGTGGTTATCTGGAAGAAATGCTTGGACTTACACATGCCACTGTTCCCAGAAGACAGTTGGGTCATAAACAACTTTATCCAAAATACTGTCAACATACCTTATGTTAACAGACAGAATTTTGTTCTCAAATTTGAATATGCTGAAAATTATTCATCATAGTTATCATTCAATGCTTGAAGTATCCTTAAACATTAAACAGTTGAATGAGTCATTAGTTTAAGTAAAGAGAAATTGCTTGATTGGTATTTAGAAAATTAGGAAATAAAACCTCTTGTTGGTTCAATTTTTACTGGTTGAACAGTGAAACCTCCTTTCTCATATTTTGGGTTGTTGATTCTATAAATCAATTCCCCTTTATCATTTCTTGCTTGTAACCTAAAGGAAATTGTATTCTACTTTGAATTTGTATTAAAATAATTGCCATAATTTATAGTAATTGACATAAAAAGTAATGATTCGACGAGCTTAACTTACAAGTGAACATCAAGCCTGAAGTACTATTTGATAATATTAATAATGTATTTCAGGTACATAAAAAGAAATACTCACCCTATGACCATCACATTTCCTAATGACAGAACAACCACAAACTTCAGCACTACTCCCAATATATCCACCACTAGGCCTAATAGCTGTTGTTTTGAACATGACTTTGAAATAAACAGATGGAATGATGGAGTCTTTTAAGAAATTTTTTTTGTTTTTGAAGCAAAAACTAGCTGTGTCTTTGTATAATTTTCGAAATTATTCATTATTGAAATGAAGACTGCACATATAGCTTCTATTTCCAGATGGTCTTAGGGAAATCATGAAGACTAATCACAAACAATGCAGTAAGTAACCATGTTTCTTATTTATAATGTTTTCAGTAATTACATTAAAACAACTTGGAATAACTGTAGAAACTATTTTTTCCTTTTAAAGTATAAGAACAAAGTAAGATACGTATGCACAAAATTCTGTTCGCGATATGATTATTAGTAAATATTACAAGGATTCATACACAAAATATCAGGTAACCGTATTGAATAGCGTAACACACAAGCTGCTGGCAAGTATACCCCATGAAGAATTTTATTATTAGTTTTTCATTATCTTATGTAATAACTTTCTATTTTTTACATTTTAGTTATTTTTGTTATAATAAATATTGAAATCGAATGAAAAATAAAAAGCCTCGTAATTAAATATCAAACTTTTTTTTTTCAGTAAAACTTTATAATTTATCTGTTATTTTCTCTACTGTAGTATTATACTTGATTCTCCAGGTTGTAGGTAAGTAATCAAAGTATAATGAAAATAAAGGTTGCAAATGCAAAATAAATGTATAATACTGTTAGTATTGATCAGAAAGTTTCAAAATTCTTATGGTCAAAGTTTATACTTCTCACTTTTTCACATTTATTTTCTGTAGTAATTTTACTGCTAGGAGATGACTTACAAAATAGAAGAAACAAAAGGAAGAGTACTGTCTGTCTTTTTCAGTATGGACAAAGAAGTTCCAAAAAAAATCTCCTGAGAGTTTTTCCTAATCTTTTTACACCTATTTCCTATATTTATTCTATTGTTAGTAGCTGAAAAGAAACCTACCAAATATACAGCAAGGAATCGCCATTCCTGTTTAGGTATTACCATACTTTGCCACCATCAATACCAAATAAGCTTTTGCAGCATAATTTCTGGAACTTTCCCTGCTTTGAAAACATAGTGGGGTAGGATTTATCAACTTGTTGACAGCATAATGGTTACAAGGAGAATTGTCTAAAGTATTATAAAATGCTTATGCTATGGTTTTGCAGAAAGTCTGGGGTGATCCAATAAATTTGGCAGGTATTTAAATCTTAGTTATCCTTTCAACATGGTCAAGAGGTAGACAATAAGTAATCTATAGGAATCCTGGCTCTAACAAAACAGTGGGGTAGGATTTATCGGCTTGTTTAATAAAGTGGCTGCAACAAGAATTGTCTGAAGTACTATATACAAGTGAGATAAAATATATCTGATATATCTCTTTATAAAGTTGTCTCTGATCCAATAAACTTGTTAGGTGTTTGAATGTTAGTTATCTTCCTGGGTGGTCATGATTTAGTGGTGTAAAAGTATGTAAGTGTTATGAACATCCTGTTTCCTACTTTACCATGCTTACACAGTAACCAATAAATGCATAGTTTCCAGTATTTTGTAAAGTACAGTGACATTTCGTTTTTCCATATTTTACATATGTATAAATATATATTACTATTTACAAATAAATACTTAAATTTCAGATATTTTTCTTAAAACATAGAACAGTAAATAAAAGATATTCAGAAAACAATGATCTCCACTACTTACAATGTTCTTTTATGAACTCATGAATCATACTTGCTAACCCTCATCATAAGCCTTGTCCAAATTCCCACGTGGATGTAGAAATATAATAATTTATGTCGACTTTATATATGCATTTTGGAATACCAAAAATTATAAATGGCTATACTGATACCACAAAAATAAATTGTAATTTACCAGGCTTCCTGACTATATTGTATTTGGGTCTAAAAAATATATAATTTGTGTTCGGAAAATAGCACTGATCATAATACTTTAAACTCTCCATCAATATAAGAACTTTTCTCTCATAAATAACTTAGAAAGACTAATAGAATTATGTAGAGGAAATGTAGAAATTTCAATTGGTTACAAACTTATCGGTATAGAAAAGCAGGCGTGGATAAACAAGTCTTCTCAAATTATGAAGTGGTGGGTAGAGACAATATGGTGGATTTGATAAATATTATGCTACCTTAGCAAAGAGAAAAGGTAGGAGGTTCTTATTTTATAATCTAGCTTGCCAATATAGGAAATTCATATGAAACTATAGTCGTTGTATTGTGGGCATCGTAAAATGTGATCTGATCAAACCCAGAAAATGACGTACCACGTGACACAGAAAAATCGATATTTAGCCTTCTATTTTATATAGTTACTTTCAAATTAAGAAATAAACTAATGTATTATGCTAAAATCTGAATTATAATCTACAGTTTGATGCCAAACTTATTGACATACATTCATAAAATAGTAGTTCAATAAAGGTTTGAATGTTAGTCTGCAAATGTGATGACATGGCCTCTGACCCATACCCATCTCGACAGGGTTAAAAAGAAAGAATGATTTTAACTAAGACACAAAACTCTTTGCACATCTTTTCAGCTTGTCTCATAAACTATATAACAGCAAAGGGTTAAGTCTGAAAATAATGTAAAAGGCATTTTTTTTTGTATTATTTATTTTTGATATATACAAACTTCTACCCTACTCCAGGCTAACTCTAGGGCAAGTTTTTGAGTAAAGTATGTTATCTTATATTAAGTAGTGAAAAAAAAAAAGCAGTACATAGAAGTGTCTAAGAGTTACTTACATATGTTTACTAATTCACAAATATATAGCTAATTTTGTGACTAATCATTTAAAACAGAAGTTATAATTTTCCTATACTGAAAATGTATTTCCAATAGGTACTTACCTCCTCTTACACAGTTATCCTCGTCCAGTGCTACACTCTATAAGCAAACAAAAATTTATGCATGCCACAAGCCTTCTGCCTCCCCTCCATTGAAAATGACTCATTCCAATGTGTTTCTCATGCAAATCATCATGTGATAACCCTCCACTAATGATAGTGCTACACACTCTCATTATGCATGTGACTCCCTCTATTCAATTCTACCAGACTAACACTTCAAGTTTTTGCAGAAAATGGAAGCTCAGGTTTTCAGTGGGGAGGAAGGGTGGGAGAGTAGGTAAGTATCTATCAGAAATACATTTTCAGTATAGGAAAATTATAGCTTCCAATACAGTATATTACCTCATCTCACACAAATAGCTGAAATCCCACATTGGATAGGGGGAGGGACTGGTGCGAAAGAAGAAAAGAAGTGTCCTTCGAAGGTGTCAGAAGGACATCTCTTGAGGCGAGAGAATCAGATCTGAAGATCTGTTGTGGGAGATTACACCACTTCTGAACCAGCTATACTCTTCACCTATTGGAGAAAGGTGTGGTACATATGGGCAGAAAAACAGAAGAACACATCGAAGTTTGTGGGAGAAAACAATGGAATTGCCCCCAACTGCAGAGTGGCTATAGTGCGATAGACCACACTCAGCAAGTCAACTACATCCCAAACCCATGCCACTGGGAACTGACATCCACGCGGGTGTAGGATGAGGATCATACCATCTTCACCTCAAGTTCAGGAGAACAGAGGGGATCTCAAACCCACCTGACTCTGTAACAAGGCACATGTTAAGAATAGAAAATAACATATAATGATCCGGGAAACCCAACATCCGGTATCAAAAAGATGTCTAACATAGAGAAAACAACTGAAACTGACAGAACCAACCCAGGCACTATAACATCCTCGGAAAAAGATACAAGACATGGCGGGATGGGCAGCTATCCTCTTCTGCTTTACCCATGTAGTCCATGGGTGGCACAGTCTGGGATGGGCATATTTATGAAGCAATTGAATCATGAGGATAACCTTCAAGCAATCTTGTGGAACACCCCATCTCAACAGTGTGCATTGCGTGGCCATGTAACATAATAAGCAGGTCAACATGGCTGAACAATGTAAATTTTAAAGGTTAAAGGATACCTAGTCAGGCACCACTCGCCACAGAACAGGATCCAGTAAGAAAAAAGAGGGACATGCTCCTGAAAAAACAAGAGGTATATATAAGAAAAGGTAACTTACTCAGTCACAGTCTCATGAAAGAGTGAAGAATGGCAACAGGTGAATGACGGTACCACTATAAGAAAGAAACAGCTACTCAAAGCAGAGAATGTGAGATGAGATGTAGTCCCAGTGCTCAATAAATGACGTACCTCCAAAGAGAGGTGCGGGTTAGGAGTGAAGACACCAGGAAGTGAAGATGGGAAGAAGGGTACAAGGAAGAAAAGGCCAATTGAATCACAATCTAATCCCAATGGGTAAGGGTGGAAGGGAAATATAACAGACAAAAAAGTGGATTACGGGGAGGAAAGTGGTAACAGAAAATTCATAATGCAAAATAAATAACCAAACACAACTGTGTTGGTAGAAACAATAAAAGTTTTTGGTAATGAAGTAATAACTAAATAAGTTCCGCAACCAGGCAGAAATAAAAAATAATTCCACTTCAGAATAAATCAACAAGTTACAAATATCACTATTGTATAATAAAGAGTAACCTTTTGGGAGAAATTAATACAAAGAAATGGAAAAATATTAAAATAAAGCACTTGAAGAGAGCACAAACTAAATGTTAGAACATGAGTAATGTCAAACAAGAAGTGATGGTCTGGCAGAATTGAACAGAGGGAAACACATGCGTAATGAGTGTGTGGCACTCTCAATGGTGGAAGGTTGTTGCATGATGATTTGCATTAGAAACACATTGGAATGAGTCATTTCAAATGGAGGGGAGGTAGAAGGCTTGTGGCATGCATAAAAATTTTTTTGCATACAGAAGGCAGTACTGGACGAGAATAGCTATTTATATGAGTGGAGGTAATGTACCGTATCAGAACTAATCTCCATAAAGTCTGAAGGCAAAGGAAAATGTCCAAAATTTGTTTTTTATTATACTAGTTTTCTCCTGCAAAGGCACAAGGAACAGCTAAAGTGATGGTTTGGTGTGGTCTGTGACGATCATGTTTTAGATCCATTTTTCTTTACTGAAATTGTTACTGGAGAAAACTACCTCATAATGTTAGGTGATCGTTTGATGTCACAACTGCATGAAATTGGTGAAAGTACACCACAACAGTTTCAAGGAGATAGAACACCACCCTATTACTTTGCAATGGTTTGTCATTGGCTAGATGACAATTTTTGTGACAGGTGGGATGGACAATGTGGAACTGTGGAATGGGTGCCAAGATCTCCACACCATAGCCCTACGGATTTCTTTTTCTGGGGTTGCATAAATCTATTATTAATTCTACTTAATATTGCTGGAATTACACAGAAAATGAGCAGTTACTTCTAATTTTTGGTCAGTTCTTTGCATTGAGTGTTTGTAACAAATAAAAACATAAAATAATTAATTTCAGTATTATGCAATATGTGGGTTCTACTAATAGTGAATCATATATCAAGACATCAGTAACTTCAGGGTTAAGAATTTAAGTGGCAGCCCTGTAGAGGTGTGAGTGCTGTACAGTCTGGTAAAAGAAAACAAATTCAACACAAAGTGTTATCCTTCTCAGTAAAAATAGTCTAAGTTGATAGAAGAAACATTACAACCTTATTTCTTTCAAGTCTTTTGGACAAAAATATTAATTTTCTGGTAATGAACTTAAACGTGTTTATGTATTTTTAAGCCTTGCAGCTTTAGTCCCTCAAACTTTATTATAAATAGAGTGTAAGAAAATTTTAATGTGCATATACACATACAGTACCTCTTTCTCAAGAACAGGTTTTGATGCATTATTTTTGTTCACACTGTAAGCTTCATTCAACTGTTTTTGGAGAGTTTTCACTTCAGTTTCAGCAAGCCCATATTTTTGTTTTGTCTCTTGGAGAGCTTCCTGAAGTTTGCTTATTTCTGTTCTTAGTCTGGATTGTTCCAAACAATGTTCTTCGATAGTCTAATGTAATAAAATAAAAAACTTTTTATAAAATGCAAAATAAAATAACTTTACAGTTTTACTTAAATAATTCTAAAAAAACTCTTGTTAAAGTTCATGAAAGTGTATAGTATGCAAAACATATTTAACAAAACAGTATTTAGATTATGAAAGTGCTATTGTATGTTTCTATTTTTGCAAGAAGGTTTTATTTTTCCTAAGCATATTTAAGACTTTTTAAATGCTTAAAAATTATTTTAAAAAGTGCACAAATTAGTCTTTACTCTAGGTTTTTCTCTATGTTATTCAATAAGTACAAATAAAAACAGAAACTTGTTTCCAGCAATATACGAACTGAAACTGATCATTCTGTTGATTTTAATATTTCTATTTCATATAAAAAAAGTTCACCTTTTTTGAAATTTCTTTGGTAGAGTCTAATTTTGACAACTCTCTTTGATATTCAGATATCTCTCTGTGTGTTTGTCTCAATTCCAGTTCTAGTTCCCACAACTTGGAATCTTTCACTTTTAATTCCTCTCTAAGGTTTTCCACTGTGATTTTTAGGGACTCAATTTGTTCTTCCAACATAGATCTGAATTTTTCATGCTCAGACCGAAGAGAAGCAAGCAAAGAGTCCAATGTACATTTCTAATGAGAAAAACAGCACTTTTACACATATAAAAAGTGATCTATAAGACCATATTATATTAAAAAAAAACTCAATTACTAAAATGTTTAGATTCATAACTAATGTCCAAAAATGAGCTTAGGATAGATTTATATCCCATAAAAACTACTACTTACACTTAATCAATGTTATTTAACAAAAGCAAAAAAGTTTTCCTAAACCATAATTTAAGAGCACTGTTTTTTTTTTCTTCAACAAAATTAAATTACACATTGGTGAAATTGAAATATCAGATAAAAAATCAGTACTTATCAAATAACATAGCCAATTACCTCTGAACTGACATTAGTGTTTTTCTCAGCTACAGTTTTGACTTTGGCATCTTCATATTGAACACGCAAAGTAGCGATTTCTTGCTGTTGACTCAGGAGCCTTATTAAAAACATAATTTGTGTAAAAATTGTAGAATTTAGTTTAAACCTCTGAATTATTATTACCTTCTGATCAAAGCAAGCTACCTACATAAAACAGAAATAAAAATTAACCTAATAATTAATCTATATAATTAACATACCAATCTAATTTCTCAAGGTTAAAATGCATTGATTTGTCAGTTGGTTGCCCTTACTGTTAGTCGTTTTCCCAGCCATAATCCTAATAATATCTCACAAGGATTGGCCAGCTCAGGATATTTTGTAACAATGCAATATAATCTTTGCAATAAAAAATATACTTAATAAAAATAATGATATTATACATACTAAATATTTTAAACAATACTGTTAATAAAACTAACATTAAAGAAAGAACAGGATTCATTGTTCTATAATAAATTTGTCAAACATTTAAAATTTGTTTTAATTGTAATCAAATCATAAGTGTATTACATATCAAATATTGCCAAAAGGAAGCTATTATGAAAACTTCTATCCTTGATTAATTACCACTTTCTTACTAAAATTTGTATTTTAGTTTTCTCATACTACAGAAATTTTATAATTCAGTTTTAATTTTAATCTAATCACAGCTGTATTAAGGACTGAGATATTACCTAAAGGAAACTACTAAGAAAATTTCTCAACCAACATGACTTCTGCTTTGTTGTTGGGCAACAGTTTCTTGTGAAAGTATTGTATTATGACTATTTTTTTTTACATACACTTTAAAAATTGTGAAACAATCTTAAACTGCACATGAAATGTAATACAAAACTCATTTTATTTTATACTTTATTAAGGTTTCAATCAAAAAGGCCTTGAAGATGTCAAAATTTCTCAATCTAAAAAATAAAATACAAACATGCAAATATAATGAAAATATAATCTGGCTTCCAATATCAACTCTTATGTTTCATTTCTGTGATTGTTTTTAAAATCTTGAAAGAACTGTGCAAATATAATAGGCTTCCCTACTCACTTTCAGCATCAATATAACTAGCTGATTTGGATGATAAGAAGCTGTAATAAGTTAATCCTTACATTTCAAAAGTAATCACAGGTCAATATATTCATTCATGACCAATATGACTTTTACTAAAAAATCTCCAAGTTATTGACTCTGGAACATCTGGTTTTTGTTGGCTTGATGCAGCTGTTGTATGGTTTGTTTTGTTGCATTGCAAAAAAAAATTAATGAATGAATTAATTTGAAATTTGAGAAGAACTTTCTATAAATAATATTCTTTCAGCAAGTAAATCATCTTATATTTATATGTGATATTTTTTATGAATCAGCAGCTCTGAAAATTCTAAAAGATTTCACTGTGATAGTATCATTAAAGAAACTGTTAAGAATTTTTGCCTTTACTGTATATTTTAATCACTGATTTTTGTGACTTTCTACATCTTTGTGAAACTTTTTTTAAAAAATGTTTATTTAAGAAAACTGTAAATTAGAAGAATTAGAAGAGTGTATGATTAAAAAAAATATTTCACCCGCACTATATTTGTCATATTTACTGCCAACACCACAGATTTTATCCATAAAGAAACTAGTTAATTAATGTAGTGTATTAAAAAAATATAGTAGGAATAACATAATGTCGTAACATATATATAATCAATTACATCATGCCTCACCAGCTTGTGAAAGGAATTCACACCATAATAATTTTTGTTGTAAAAAGATGACCTATATAAATATTATTATGACCATTACTGTGTGCATTGTATCCCAGCCGGCCTGAAGAGCTCTAGATTGAGTGAAACTCGTCATCAGCAATGGATATGACGAATATTGTGTGGTTGGAATGCTATTATTATACACTCTTCTAATTCTTGAATATTCATATGCGACTAGATTAGGAATGTAGTATTAAAAAACATAATAAGCCTAACATAATATCTTAAACCATATATATATAATAAATTACACTACACCATGACAACTGAAGTTGTGAAACAGTAATAGGCTGTAACTGATAAAACTAAACAATGTCAAATTAGTGCTACTTTATTCAAAACTAATAACCTAACTCTTAGTGGACTACAAGTGCCATATTTCAGGAAATTTATAAATACACATTTTTGTTTGGAGCATGATGAAAATCAACCAAAAGTCAAAAATTGCAATTTTTTATTTTATGTACAAAAATTGTAAAAATAAAACTTTTTATTGAAAGATTTCAGTTTTGGAGTGTTGTTTTTCTAACTGAGGTAAAATTACTACAAGTTGATTTACTGTAAAATTATTAATTCAATTGTGAAATTTAATCCTCAAGGTGGGATGCACCCATTTGCATGTGATAGAGTTAACTGATTAAAGATGCTTTTTAATATACAAATCTGTTTCTAAAGATATTCAATATTTTGTTGGAGAATTATGAGGCTTATGAATATGAGATTAAATTAATTTAAAGTAATAATCTTGGTAAAGAAAAAAAGTAATATTTATTTTAAGAATTAATATTAACTTACAATTAGAGCAAGCTATGTATTTAAAACAAAACTAAAAATCAACATGGCAATTAGTATAGCTAATTAAACATACTTTTCTTATGTTCCTACTTATAATTAGACCACTAGGCTTCCAAAACTACAGTGTAATGATCTTGAATAAACTAACGGTACTTGGGAACTCGAATTAAGTAAACTGTAAAATATAATGTAATATCATGAAACATTATATGAGCAAGAATAAGCTGAAGAATTTATATTTAAACCTCTATCTTTATTTGAAGGCAACATGAAAGAATGAAAAAAAAATGAAATAACTTACTTATCTTGTAGGTTATTAACTTTGTCACACAATTTTTTATTCTCTTCAGCTGTATGTCTGCTCTCTATTTCAATTCTAACGCACTTTTTTCTTTCTTCTTCTATCTCCTTTTCTAGCTTTTCACTTTGATTAATCTTCTCTTTAAACATAATTTGCATTTTGTCAAGTTCTGAATGCATGTTCATGTTCATAAGGCTAGAGTCATGTTCATTCTTTTCTAAACAGGTCTTGAGTTCTTTTACTTTTTGAGTTGCTTCTGAAAGTTGTTTTTTCAAATCTGAATTGTCAGCAAGAAGATTTTCTTTTTCAGCATGTTCCTGTATCTTTATTTTCTGGAACTTGTCACTCTGTTCTGTTAAATTGTTCCTTGTGGACCGAAGTTCTTCCTGAACTTCGGCTAATTCTTGTTCGAGTCTTTTCAACTTTGCTTTGTTTTCATTCAACTGTAAATTTGAAATCCATCACTAAATAGATGTTGTATGTCAGTTAATTGAATTATGTTATTATGAATGACAAAGATTTAGTCTAAAGTAGCAGTTACATATATTTAGTTTTTAACTGCAGCACAGCAGCTTACAGAATGGCTCTGAGGTGTTTTTCTTTTTGAGTACAAACTTTTAGTTCAGAGCTCCGCCATCTCTTGACCAATTTGAAATCTAATGACAGTTTTGGACTCGGAAGGTCAAACCCTTTCGATTGATGTATTTCACTACATCCAAGGTCTCGTAGATTAATTTACGCTAATCCTGCCTAAAAGAATTTCAATTTGAGGGTAGACTGGTAGAGATCCTGATGAGTAATTAAATCAAATCTGGTATACACACGCCTCACACTTAGTATTGCTAGCACACAAAAATATAGCTAATGAAAAGGTCTCATAGATTAAATTACTCTAATCCAGCCTTAAAGAATTTCAAGTGCCACAGTTAACTGAGGATTCCATCTTGTTTATACCAGAGTAAAGCCAAATCACAATCCTAATGACAGCTTTTCTAACTAAATATATATATATAGATATAGATAAAAGCAATATCACACATAGGTATCATATTGCATATAAAATATTTTCTTCAAGGTATGTGGACAGAATTCCAAAGTTATACCAAAGGAACTTTTAGAATTGAAGTTTATAAGAAAGCATATCAAGTAAGCAGAAAAATTACTCACATACGAATTTCATATAAACTCATTCTTCCTTTCAAAACAATATTAATACATAAGCAAGTGTTCAACAATAATTAATCCTGAAAAAAAAATTGAAACCATTATGAGCTTTAAAGGCAAGTACCTCTTTTTCTTTTGCTTCTTTATCTTTTAATTCTTCAGCTAATCTGTTCTCCAGTTTTTCCTTCTCTTCAGCCAAATTTGTATAGTTTGATGTATATCTATATGACACACTGTCTAAACTCTCATGTACGACAGCAGCTTCTTTTTGTAAAATTTCACATTTGTTTTCCAAGTCTTCTCTTTCCACAGTGATGGATTTTATTCTCTCTATCCATTCAGCTTCTTTGTTTTCTAGTTCTTTCTACAGGCAAAAATAAATTTAAAAAATGACAATTATAAATACGTAGGAAAGTGAAGCAAAAGAAGAAAGAGAAACGTTAATGCAAAGACTCCTTTCACAAACCTTTTTTCCCCCCTCTGTTTTTTTTCTTAGCTGTATAATATAAATTTTTATTGTTCAGACACAATCTGTATATTTTAAAGAAATGCCTCGAAAGTTTTCTGTATTATATTCTTAACAATCAGAAATGGGTATTTTTGTAGGTTCAGCTTGCAAATTGTTGTTATCTATGACATTGGTTCTCCTGTGTTTTCAACAATACAATTAGTTGAATATTTATATTTCTGGAAAAATAAGATGATAATTCTTTGTTTTGAATCATTAACACCCCATTGATAACTTTTTCTTTTTTTTATTATCATCACTTCTGTGTTGTACCAACCACAAGTCTTCATTGTTGAATCATAATCTAACAATACACAGGTTTGGTACTTTGTTATGAGATACTTCCAAATTATTAACAAAAAATACATCTAGCTAACGATAATTATCAATTCAAGAATTTATGTTTATTCTATTTTATGATATATCTTACTAACCAAAAGTTGACACACTGGTTGGCATCAAAAGCAGTCTGAAAATAATTAACTCTGTTTTTTTTTTAAGGAAAAAAGTTGTTTTTTCTATTAATCCCTTAGAAATAAAGTACATATATAAACTGTATATTATATATCTTTAAAAGGTAGTATCTACACCAAAATAAGAATAGTTTTATACCAAAACACATTTAAAATAAATAAATTAAGAGTGAGATTAATAAATAAAAAATAGTAGTTTTATCAAAATAACGTAACATACCAGGTATACATCTTATGCTAATGTTACTTTTAGAGAATATCCTTAATCAAATTTGAAAAAAACATTCTTAAATACATAATCAAATTAAAAAAAACTCCATTACTTATTCTTTCTGGTAGGAAAAAAACGACAACCCGAAGAATGCATGCTTAATCTTATGGGCGCTGTTTACGGAATAGAGATAAGCTTATACCTGAAGGATTTTAAGTTGGGCCTTCAGTGAGGTATTCTCTCCTTCATATTGTTCATTCTGATGTTCTAGGAGTTTCATTTGAGTGGCATATTTCACCTTTGGTATCAAAATTATTTCATAATTAATAAAATAAGAAGTCATGAAAATGTAAAACAAGTAAATTTAATCCTGGTTATTACACTTTTATTATCACTTTAGATGTTACACAACACATTTCTAGCTCATATTCAGGTTCAACATTATAAATTTTACATATTTTTCATTAAAGTAATAAAATATTTATTATAAATTTCACAAAATATTTATATTTTTTGTATATGTATGTTTTTGGTATTCTTATTTATAGTACTGTTAGGTACATGATAAACCTCATAAGCTGAGAGATACTCAGAAGTTTCCTATAAAATCTAAGCCTAGTATTAACACAAGTAGTTAAAATGCAAAAGCTTGCAAGTATAAAAAAAGTTTTACATTGTGAAGTTTACTCTTCATCAAAATTAATTAAGATTCAAGCCACAGTAATAGTCTACATGATTATAAAATCATATTTTATTGTCATAAAACCAATTTCAGAAACATCTAATTGAGCAATACATCAAGCTTTTGTTTTTGGTAAATAAAATCAACTACATATCAGATGATCAAGTGCATTATTTACAATAAGGTATCTTAAACTAACAGAAAAGGTTTCATTACAGCTAAATATCATGAATAATTATCCTTAGTACCAAACATTTGAAACCTTTAATATTTAAAATTCTTTACCAATAGACATTTCTCATCAACGTAACCTTCTATGAGTAAATGAAAGTATTATATAAGTAGTTTCCATCATTGTAGTTTCACATTCTCTGATAAACCCATTAAAAAATCAAACTCTCCATAGGATAATATTGTGCTTCTTGAATAAAAGCTCATACAGTGATTATCTCTGAAAGAATTAACCTTATTATTGGTAATGATAGCCATAAAAGTGAAGAAACCATCTTGAAATACTGTTGAACAATTACATTAAAAGTAAAAGATTTTTAGTTTTGAACAAATCTGACATACAAATCTAATCAAAAACACCTTAGCTGTGAAAAAAAAGGTGCAGCAAAAAAAAGGATTGAGTGTGTGACTTAAAGGAATGAAATCAAAATTGGCAGCCAAACCGGTTGCTATGCTTATAGTATTGATAAGAATTTTACAGCAAATATTCATTCATTAATTAGACAGTTTGCATTTTTTGTTCAACTTGGGGCATGATAGTAGGTAAAACAAAATATGCAGCCTAGCTAACTATTGCTATAAATTTCTTATCAATGCTATAAGTGTAGCTACCACTTTAGCTGCTAATTTTGATTTCATTCATTTAAGTCGCACACTCAATCTTTTCTTGGCCGCACATTTTTTTTCACACCTAAGGTGTTTTTGATTAGATATCATGACTTTTTTGTCAATACACACCAATTAACCACACGCAATCCTATTATTCAGAACAGACCTTTACTTTAAAGAACCAACCAGATTCTTTAAAATATATATAGTGGTAGTTTTTAAAATTACAAATACTTTTCCTTAACTCAAAAACTCAAATTTCCTTTGTGTAATCCCTAAAACCTCCCAAATGCATTTCAAACGTTTTCTTTTTCATTAAAACTTTATAGTTTATCTGTTATTGTCTCTACCCTATCTCAAAATGGGATCGGTCAATTTAACCAACTTCGTAACCACACAAAAAAAATTGAAATAAACCTAAATTACCCTTTTTCTTTCTAGAATGACTTCAATTTGTAACATGAAAGTACACTCATTTATCCTAAGTAGCTCTAAGTTCGTAACAGTATACATCTATTTATAATTACATTTTATTGTTTTATTGCCCTTTGAACCATGTCTATCTACTATCCACACCACTGTAAGTTGTAAATCATTTGGGGAACATGCAGCTCACGTTACGCTAACAAATTACATTACCCATGAGCTACTTGAGTGTTTGCCTCATGAAACATTTTTATTATATTATTTACTTTACCTAATTTAATCTCAACAAACCTAAAAGGATCCCTACTTTTACATTGTAGTTACTTTTATAATTATACACAAAGAATCAACATGAAAAACAAGAAATAAAATATTTAACCAATCTTCTTTTTTTCTTGTTGTTGGGTTTCAAAGAGAGTTAATCCTAATTTTTTATGCTATAGATAGTAATGCACTTAATAATTTTTATTTAATTAAATAATGCACCAAAGAATATAGACTAATAACATGCAAAAAGTAGACAAATTCACTTACTTCTTAAAATTTTCCTGGCTTTCTAACAATGCGACAAGAGCTGTTACAAATTCCTCTAAGCTAGTTGTTAACTTTCCCATGAGAATGAGCCATGTATTACAAGTGAAACTGATGCTTATATGTTCAGAACACAACGTTATACAATAAGAGTTTATGCTATACTAATTGGTATAACCTAAACAAAAAGTAGTTTAATAAAATTTTGAATGTGAGACACTAAAACCTTGCGTCATACACAGTAAAGGATACTGTGCCGATAGGGTTAAATACACCACTTTTTCAAACCCTATGTTACTGTGAAAAGTAGCAAGACTAGTGGATAATTAAGTTTCAAGAGAATTTATTCTGTAATCTTTCACAGATGTACGAAACTCACTACAAAATGAGATTGTGTGAGAAGCTGCTTACAAAACAAATACAAAAATTTTAACTAGGTAGTTAATTATTAAAATTTGTTTCCCTCTAAATTCACTGTCAAAAAACTACAATAATGGTACACAAAAAAAGAACACTAATAGAAAAATCAATTTGTCAAAAGTGCCATAAGCTTTTGCACAAAAGATTGAATATGCTCATTATTGTATCTCCATTAAACAGTGTAGCAACCGCTCTGAGGGTTCTAAGTATTACAGCCTAAAACTAAATCAAATACTAAGAAATTTGTCACTTGCCATTTCTTCCTCAGCATTACTGTTTTTCATTTGTGAGGGAGATAAGGGTTTTGATGGTTTACTTTGTTCTTCTTCCAATTTATTTTTCCAGTTCAGTATTTCATCTTTCAGCTGAAAAATAAGAAATCGTTAATAAAGTTAGAAGTTTTCTATCATTTAAACAAGGTTTTTACAAAGAGATATCATTAGTTTCAAGCAGTTCATATAATGTAGTAACTATACTTACATGACTGGAACAAAATACAATAACCAATTAAATTCCTGTAATCTTTACAAATAAAAAACAATTATCCACTGCTTATGCCTCTGTGAAAGAAGAAATATAAAATTTTACAGTGTGAGATAACTAAAATTATTAAAAGAAATGTATCTTTCTTAGAAGAAGAAAAAATTAATGATTTACAAGTAAATATGATTGAGTCAAACCCAAATGTTAGACTGTTGTTAAGACAAACTAAGTTCAGCAAATTGTCCTTAAAACAATATCTGGTTACATACAACTAAAATAACTCACATCCTTAATCGTAGTATTATAGGTTTTCACATCCTTGTTAAGACTATCAACTTGCTTTTGTAAAACTGCTTTGGCTTCGGTCTCACTACAATGTAGAAATAAAACAAAAGGCTTCACTTTTTCACAGCACACTATAAGTGCAATCAAACTTCCCAAACTATATTCAAAAAGAGAAAAATGTAATATACTGTCCATAAGTGGTACTAAATTAAAAAACCAACTTTATTTTTTCACATCTCACTAAGTAATTGGCAATTCAACTTTGAAATATCAGCATAGAAATGTGTATCAATTTAACAAAAATAACTTGCAGTTTGAGCCTTTGTTCAGTTTCTGCAGTTATACTAATTCAGAAACAGATCCTTTTTTGATGATATCAGTGAAAATGTTAATTAATTTCAACCAAATATGAATGAGAGTATATAAAATATACTGTATAAAACTAATAGCAGTTTTATGAAGATAGTTTGGATAAAAATACATAGAATTAACCCGCTATACTAAAATATTTAACTATTTCACCAAGAAACAATAGTTGCTCTATTTATTATTCATTGCTTATACCAATGCAAATTGCATAAAATGTGTGTGATACATTGGAAAATATATAAACATTAGAACTGACTGTAATGTTGGTGTGATGCATCTACTCAAAATGAGTGCATAAAATTCACAGTACCACAACAAGTCACAAGAATGATACATTATCTTTACAAAGTAAATATGATTAGCATCTTATTATTTCATACAAAAAGAAAGTTGTACTGACTAAAATTATATAAAAAGTGTAATAATTTAGTAAAGCAAATATGACTTAATGAAATGCCTACAAGAGGAAGGAATGGAAACAAAAAATGTGTACTTTCATACTGCATTAACTCTATGCTTATGGCTGGGAGTCAACATGCACATCAAACCCTTTCACAGAGTTACATTCAAAGTTTCATTAAACACCTTTATTATCAAACTTCTTTATATCAAAACAAGATATTTAAATAAATTCTCAATCTTCACTCCTTTGTATCACGTGATGCTTCTTCTCTCAGAATTGCCCATTTTAAGTTTTCTTTCTACCTTATATGATCTTTTTGATGTTTCCAATAACACATTTATACTATAGATATTACTAATCCATACTGCAAATGTATAGCCTCCAATTTTATTGCTTTCCTGAGTTATAAACAAAAAAAAAAATGCACAAACCAATATGCCACACCCCTCCCATCTTATCCTGCCTATCAAAACAATGTTTATAATTCTCTCTGAAACTTGCTATTGGATTATTTATAACAAATAGAAAGAAAATATTCTGCTTTTCAAACTTGTTTCCAAGGCTAGTAAATTCACTGAATTTCTTTAACTATTTATAGCTTTGTTAGAAAGCCAGTTAAATTACAACAATTTTGGGATATCCTACTTTTTGTGTATGTGATTCATATATGAAATAAAAAATAAACAATATTTTGCACCACCTACATTTTTATAAAAAAGTAGGCTTACAGTGCTTCATATGCTAAAGGCAGAAAGACAGAGTCAAGTGTAAGTTCTAAATTTCTTATTTTTTTATGTACATTTTATATTTATTGTTATAAAAGTAGCTTAAATGTAAAAATTAGACTTATTAAGTTAGATAAGAAATGTAAAAGAATACTTGTGGTACTCTATCATATCATGAGCATATCGCAAGACATGATTGTAGTTCAACAATGGAGTACTTGTAAGTTGATTGTTTATTTACACAAATCTTTCCAGCTGTGATAAATGTTTTTTGGAATACTCTGAGACTGACCAAGTACAGCTGTAAAACAATAAAACAAAATGAACTCAGAGTTGAAAAAGTTATTAGCTTTGGCTGTAAGAATATATATAGTGTGTAACTGTCTGTTACACTATGCAGTCATTCTAGAAAGAATTGAGATTTATTTCATATTTTCAACTTCACATTTTACTGCCCATTTCTGATTTTGCTATTATAGTTGAGGTAGAGAAAATATGAGATAAAGTATAAAGTTCTACCAAATAGAAACTTGATATTCATTGAGGAAGTTCTTGAGACTATGGAAATGAAATATGATGAAAAAAAAAGTATTGTTATTCTTAGCATTAAAACCATCTTTCACTCAAAGTAGTCAGAATGACTCAGTAAATTCACAGAAAAAATTTTAGTACAAATACTTTATTAAAAATTCTGGTTTTCTGTCTACAAAAATCTTTCACATTTACTAAAAGCTTGCCAAATTTCATGAAACTATGGGGACCAATATTAATTCTCCAGTACAGGTTTAGCCCTTGGAACTGAATTTATGCACATAAGATTAACATATCTAATGGCTTTATCTAGTTTAGAAGACAAAAAAGTATGGTGTATAAACAAAGATGGATTCTAGTCTACTTTTATATGTCATGGAACTGTAACTATGAGATTAAGATCAAACCTAACATTAATGTACGACAAATTTGAACTTGCAACTACCATAAATCCCAATAATATCAAGTAAGTTAAAACAGTAATTTAAATTGCCATAAAGACAAATAAATTTTGATAAATATTGGGGTCACTGTATTTACCTGTTGTAAGAAACTAAGGTGGATGTCAGCTGATTTTGATAAATATTGGGGTCACTGTATTTACCTGTTGTAAGAAACTAAGGTGGATGTCAGCTGATTTTGCACTGTCTTCAGTAAACTCTCAGCATCCATCTTGCTATTCATTTCCTGTTCAATTCTATATCTGATGAAAAACAATCAATACACATCAAAATGAACTACAACTCTTATTACTGTTGCTTTTTTGTACAGTAATTAATGTACACAATATCTTTCATTCCTAAATGCATGAATTAGAAATTATTTCAAAAATGAAGCATCTCTTCGTATCATAAAACCTTGAGGGAAATATTTCAATCACAAAATTTCATACACCTCCTCACTAGAAATGAAAAGTAAACTCAGACCACTATTTTTTTTCTACAAATATGGCTAGACTTCATATTTATTGATGTTCCCTACAAAGAACATTAAAAACTTTGCCCCATTTTGCCCAATTAAAGAGAGATCTACCTTTCGAAAGTGCTCAGGTTATGTTTTTTTTAATTTTTGTTTTTAATTTATTGTTTTTTAACTTACATGTTTTCTTACTATCATGAATAAACATTGCAAATAGTAATGTTATACTACAAGCATGAATTATCTAGCTGCAGGACAAATGCTCGACTCTGAATCCCCAAATAATGTTGATATGAGAGAATAATATAATAAAAATAACATAATAAAAATAATATAATGAAGTAAATCCACTAGCTTAAATGAAGCTTAATCTTTGTCCAGGATTACTACTTAACCCTCTCATGGCAGGCATCATTTTCTGTGCATGTCATTCTGTTTTAGTGAAGTAGATTCAAAATTTAATTAAACTACTTTCTTGTCATGGTATACCAATAAATATAGCATAAAAACGTAGTTAATAATCCATATTTTAATAGTATATAAGACTTAAGTTCTTACTTTTACAAGACAATATTTTTAAAAAAATCTAGAATTTCCCCTAGTGTGAGAATTGTGACATTTGTTCTCTAGGCACCCCTCTTCTCTAATTCATTTACCACCCCTCCAAGAAGTACGAAATTAAACATCAATTACTTATTATAATATCATCATCACTAAGGAAAGCACAATTTTGATAATCTTCAATCTCATTTGGTTACAGAGCTATGAAATTGACAACCAGACCTGTCTTGCCACACCCACCTGTCACATTCACTCTTTCAGAAATTTCCAATAGTTCTCTCTGATGTTCAATGCTACAGTATTTATAACCAATAGAAGGCCAAGGTTTTATAATATCAAAAAATGTATTTTATTACATTGTTTTCAGTAAAGAGAATTATAAATTTCTCTTTCAGTTCAAGCTTGATTCCCACAGGAAACACATCGACAAGCTTAGATGAAGTTTTAATAGCTCTTGTCGCATAGTTAGAAAGCCAGAAAAATTGTGATAATTGTGTCCGTTTTTTTTGCATGTTATTATTCTGTATTTTTTGGTATATTATTTAATTAAATAAAAAAATACTTAGTGCAGTACTACCATTTGTATAAAAAAGTAAGATTAAATGTCATCAACAGTTGACTGAACAGTAAATGTTTTTGTTTACGGATTTCTTGTTTAGTTAGTGATACCTGAAGAAGGGCATTGCCCAAAACGTTGTATCTACAATTATATATATTAAAATATACATATATTAACTCCTTAGTGGTTGACCTATAACATACTTCTTTTTATCTTTTTCAATAACCACTAGGATAGTAGTTAGGATAGCCACGATAGTAGTTATATTGGGTTTAAAAGGCAATAATACAACAAAATTTCTGTATAAGTACAAGCATACTGTTATGAATTTAAAGCTATTTAGGATAAACAAATGCAGTTTCATATTACAACCTGAACTCATTCTGGAAATAAAAAAAAAGGGTAATTTCGATTTATTTCGATTTTTTTGGTGGTTACAAGATCAGTCAAATTGATCAACCTTGTATAAAGTTAAGTTAGAGAAAACAAAAGATAAAATATAGAGTTTTACTGAAAAAAAAAGTTTTCAATTTATTTGGAAGGTTTTAGAGATTGTGCAAATAAAATTTGAGATTTTTGAGACAAAGAAAAATATTTTTAACCTTAACATGGAAATCACTTAGCACTCAGACCAGTATATAGAAATAATATATACATATATATTCATGAACAATTATTTAGTAAAAACACTTCATTATAAAATCTGATTTTTTGTGAATACAAAAGACTTGTGATGTTTACTAAAAGTCTGCCAAATTTTGTAAAGATGCACAGTGTATTAAAAGTTAGAATACAGAAAAGTGGTTACGAGGTCAGTCGATTCAACCGACTTCACTGGAAGTAAGTTAAAGGGTGTTATTACCTGAAACCGGTTTAACCAAGAGGAGTGGGCCAAAACGATTGATATATCAAGCATTTAATAGCTTCTTTCTTATTAAAAATTGGTGAAAAACACAACTGTAAATCTGAGAGATTCTAATATCTTGTTAATCAAAGTATAATACTGAAAGAAGTGTAGATGGCTGTTCCCTAAACTTTTGCAGTATAGAAGGGTATATTAGAAGTTATAAGAAAAAAATACAAAAAGAGGCATTGAAAACACCATTAACATCATGGATGCTCTTTATTCATTCAGCATATATATATATATATATATATATGTATCTATATGAATTTGTTATTCAATTCACAATCTCACACTACTTTGTCCCCCCCCCCCCCCAGAAAAATGTCTACGGACACCCACAATTAACATTATTACTTACTTGAGTTCTAATAGTTCTTTTTCCAATGTCAGAATCTTTTTTTGTAATCCATTATGACTGGCCTTCTCTGCCCGCAGTTTACTGAAAAATCAAATACAAAAAATACAATTATTTTTATTTAAAAAAAAAGCCCATAGACTACACTTCTATTGGTTTTCCATAATGTTAAGATAATGCTGCAAAATAATCTTCATAATAGAAAATATATATAATAAATAAAAAACAATAACAATATATATATATATATATATATATATATATATATATATATACACACACACACACACATATTAAACATTTAAAAAATACTAAAATAAATATTCTTATAGCATCAAATATAACTGCATGCTATAGAATCTACTTGAATTTCTTATACTGAAGCTTTTCACTATCAGTTACAGTTTGTGTTTTAGTGGAATGCTCCCAAAGAAGCTGTAAAGCGAGACACTGGGTGTCAATGAAATATAAAAAAACAGTAACTAAATTCAATGCTACGAGGTCTCTTACTCCTGGAATTAAACTTATGGGCACAGGTAGGGGGCAGCACTTACACACTTTTACATCTACACTAACACTAAATCCCAACCACCCAGGAGGTTAATTAACATGGAAATACTTAAAAAGTTTATTGGATCGAATACAACTTTGTACAGAGCCATATCATAAATATTTTCTCTCACTTTCATAAAGTACTTTAGACAATTATTTTTGCAACCATTGTACTGTAAAGAAGCCAATAAATCCTACCCCACTGTGTTCTCAGGGCTGGGATTCAAACAGACTCTGTAGGAAATGTCCACTTATCAACTTATTGCATTGACCCAGACTTTCTACAGTCATAATATAAACATTTTATAATATTTTAGACAATTGTCATTGAAAGCATTATGCTGTCAACAAGTTAATAAATCCAACCCCACTGTGTTTTCAAAGCAGGGAAGGTTCTGTGAATTGTGCTGCATGAGCTTATTTGATATTGACGGTATCAAACTAAGGAGAGGCGATTCATTGCTTTATATTTGCAGGTTTCTACATCAGTCACTAACAGTAGGAAAACATAGGAAATAGGTGTGAAAAAATAAGAAGAAACTCTCAGGAATTTACTTTGGAACTTAGTGATCCATACTAAAAAAGACAAGACAGTACTATTCATTTTGTTTCTTCTAGTTTCTAAGTCAGCTCCTAACAATACAATTACTACAGAAAATAAGTGTGAGAAGTAAAAACTCTGACCTTTAGTCCTTTGAAACTTTGTGATCAACACTATCAATATTATACTATACATCTTATTTTGCACTTTGCAACCTTAATTTTCATTATACTTTGATAACTTGTCTTACAACCTGGAGAATTATAGTACAATGTTACAGTAGAGAAAATAACATAAAGTATAAAGCATTACTGAAAAGCGTTTGATATTTTTCATTTGTTTTATTTATTTATTATAAAAGTAACTAAAAGGTAAAAAAAAAAGAAACTTATTAGGTAAGATAAGGAAAAAAGAATAATAGAAAACTTCATTGGATATACTAGCAAGCAGCTTGTGCATTACGATATTCGATACGGTAACGTGAAATGCACATGCTCTATGTAATTTTCAATTTGTGTTAGGGTATTTCTAGTCCAACACGGTTCAAAGGTTAATAAAATAAAAAATTAATAAATACCAATAGATGTATAGTGTTATGAGAATTAAGCTATTTAGAGTAAACATTTGTGGTTTCCTATTACAATCTGCAGTCATTCTAGAACAAAAGGAAAGGTAATTTAGATTTCCTATTTTTTATGATGGTTACGAGGTCAGTCAAGTCAACTAATACCACGTAGAGTTAGGGTAGAGAAAATAGTAGATAAAATATGAAGTTTTACTGAAAACATTTGAAATCTATTTAGGAGACTTTAGAGATCATGCAAGTGAAGGTTGAGAATTTTTAGATTAGAAGTATTTTTAACCTTAACAGGGAAATCCTTTGCACTCAGGCTAGTGAAAAAAAAGACTATATATATACATATATAGATAGATTTACAGACAAATCTGTTTTCAGTTTATTAAAAATACTTCACTTAAAAATCTTATTTTTTGTCAGTAAAAAACTTGAATTGTTTACTGAAAGTCTGCCAAATTTTGTGAAGATACACATACTATATTAAAAGTTAGTGGTATCAAAATTATAATGACTTTAAACGAGTACAAAGGGTTCACGTGGTTGTTCAATTCGACCAAGCCAATGTGGAAAGATTTAATAAGTTTTTATACTTCAACAAGCACAACACAATTTAAATCATTTAACCAATGCTGTTAATGAAACTAGCATTCAATAAAATATGAAATAAAGCTAAGTTCTTAGAAAATGTAAACCGTAGTTCCTTGCTTCATGCACTATCCACTAATTCCTTGTCCCATGAATTTTATATAATACTCCTTTATATTTATCAACTCCGAGAATTTTCAGCTTACCTTTGAAGAGTACTTCTTTCACACTTTAAAGTATTCAGTCGACTTTTTAGATTATTCTTATCGTGCCTCTCTTTTACAGCAATAAAATACTGTTTTCTCAACACTTCCTGGATTTGCTGAAGGCCATTGACAGCTGAAATGATGAACATATTTTGGTTAAACTGAAAGTATATGGAAAAAATCTACATTAATTGTTAATTATTTTATGAAAGTTAAATTAACAATTGTATGAAATTTTCAAACATTTTAAATCTCAAACAATTTTGAGGATAAATATTTCAATGTTCTCCTCATATTACTTTTTATCATGTTTCAATATATCTACGTATAATTTTAATAAATTATTATTAAAATATTATCAACACTTTTTAAATGTGTAATTTTCTTAAACTAATAAAAAGATTGTAGGTCATTATAGATACATAACATAAACAAAAATATTTTATTTTTTTGTAATTAATAACCTCCATACTTCTTATATTTTCTGGTGAGATTTCTGGAATTTTTGGCACGGGTGAGTCTTCTGTTATAGAATCTTCATTATCTGTAGTACTGTCAAAGTCACCTTGAAGCAGCTTTGTTATCTGCAGACTATGTAAAGAAAAACCAACTTCAAGTTCATCTCTTTCCATTCAAATATGAAAACTTTAACTTTGTAAATAAGCTATAATGTTTTACAGATTTCAACTATGTAATTTGATATTAAAAGTTAATAGTTCAAATATGAATAAAACAAGCATGACATAAGCATACTGCTTCCTCAAAAACTTCAAATTCTATTTTTCAACAAAGGACTGAAATTTATTCTAATTACTATATTATTATTGAAATTATCCAGTAATGATCAAACTGAAAAACAAAGTTTAATCCTTCTTGGAAAGCAATGTATAAAATTTACAATAAATTGTAGTAACAAGAAAAGATTTAATCAACCAAATTAGTGATCCAAGTTATTCAAACAAAAAAGCCAAAATTTCTTTACATAAAGATATTACTTTTTTTTTGAAAGTTGTATACCCATAAAAATCTTCCTACATTTTTCCCTTTTGTAAATGATTATATCAACACTGTTTTGATGTTAGATATATTAGTTATCAATAAATTGATGTTATATTAATTCATGAAAGTTAACATTTTCTTAAACTGAAAATGTATTTCCAATAATACTTACCTTACTCACACTTATAGCTATTACTCGACTGCCAGGGTTTCTTCCTTTGCCCATCTGAGCATTGATCCGATTTTTTCTCGCTTTTTTACCCCATTCAACTGCCCTTGGTGATAATTATTCTGGTACTGTATATAAGTACCTCATTCAGATAATGTTACCACTTTTTCAAGACTGATTCAATCCCAGTCTCTAACACCAGCTCTTAGTGAGAAGGAACGATGGGAAAGTGTGAGAGTAGGTAAGTATTATTCGAAATACATTTTTGATTTAAGAAAATGTTAACTATCAACACCACACAACAAAAGGTGGACCGGCCCATAGCCAGAACTCTGTGTAACAGACAAACCAGAGGGAAAGCATAGAGGTGCAATCCTGTCCAGTTCTTACTGAATGCATCATTCGCCAATGCCCTAGGATGAGGTACCAGGGACCAAAATTCCAGTGGTTGAGAGTTCCAATGAGTGGCAAATGCATCGATCATCGGTGTCCCAAAACCAAGAGCAAATCCACCCAAAAACCTCAAGATGTAGCATCCATTCAGTCGGGAAAATCTGGTTGGATCAAGACAAATAGTCTGCTATCGAATTCATCACACCCAGAACATGGTAAGATAGTAAGCTGATATGATGGGAGTGAGTCCAATAAAGAAGATTCAACGTTCGATAACAAAGATCCCGTGATGGAGTGCCCCCTTGACTGGAAATATAAAATACCACCGTGGAATTGTCAGAGTGAAGCATGACAATTTTTCCTTTCAATAATTCTAGACCATGAGACATTGCCCTTTGGACAGCAAAAAGCTCTAAAATATTGACGTGGAGGGAAGTTTTGTTGTCTGGCCATAGGCCCTGGAATCCCTGACTGTTGATATATGCACCCCATCTCTGAAGTGAGGCATCTAAGAGATCTAAAATGTTGATCCTGAGTAAGGAGACTGGGTGATCCAGTGGATCGCTGTTCATTATCCATTGGTCACCCACAGCAACAACTGAAGGTATCTCATGTGTACTCCTCTCAAAGGAATTAGACATTTGAGTGATGCCCACATCCCCAGAAGAAAAATAACTATCCGCACAGTAGGAGAAGGAGACGTAAGCATTTGACTGCCTGTTCCATAGCAAGGATCCGGATGGGAGTTGGCTGAACCTGACTTAGACATGTGATGAAAAAGACACCCAGATGGACAATGTATTGAGTTTGCATGACAACAGATTTCTCAGCTCTCATAATAAAGCCAGCTTTGGTGGCTTCTGAGTGGAAAATCTGGATGTAACATTCTGCCAATTGAAAAGATAGTGCCAAGAGTAACCAGTCCTCCATAATATGGTGTGTGCACAGGCCTAAAGAATGAAGGTGACGAGAAAAAGCTCGTACTATTCTGAAGAACACATATGGTGCAAATGCTAGTCCAAAGCATAGAGCCATGAACTGCAGTATCTGACCCTTGTGCACAAAATGTAGATAGTGGCGAGACGTCTCCACTACGGAAATGTGGAGATAGGCATGGGCAACATTGAACTTGGTCATCCACAGTCGTGGTGAAAAATGCCAATGTAGGGTAAGGAATGACTCCATCTTGAACCTGGGAGGATCTAAGAATTGGTTGAGACTGGCATCTGATCGGTGATCAGATGCCAGTCTCCTCTCTTCTTGGGCACAACAAATAGACAGGTATAAAATCCCGGAAAAACTGGGTCGACGCTCACTACTGCCCCCTTGACCAACAACTCTCTGATAGCCCTGGAATGAAGATCCACAATCCGAGGATCTGTTGAAGGTGGAAACACCACAGGTTGAGGGGATAATGGTGGTGCATATGTGAACTGAATGACCAACCTGATGCAAGAACCTGTAATAGAGGTAAAGGAATTACATATGTCCAGAAAATGTCAAACAAAGTTCCCAACTTGTCATCACGTTGATGTGTTGATCACTGAGAGGCTTCCAACAAAATCTGGAAGGATGATAAATATCCCAAAACTGTTGTGAGGGTCAGACGAATCCTATAAAATTGTGATCTGTTCAAGTTGATCACATGCTCCATACAGTAACCCCACATTACCAGAAGTCGATCTAGTTTTGGGGAATCTAAATGTGTGTCCCCTAGCAGTGATAAGCAAAAGCATTTTGTTCCAACAAACATCTTTAATAGTCACATTACTTTTAAGAAAACCCCATTCCAAAATGCTTTGTCAAGAAAATGTGATAACATTATCTGAATGAGGGTGCACTGACATAAGTGGAGAGTGTTACAAGATAAATATTACCAAGAGCAATTGAGTGGTGTATAAAAGACTGGAGTAAGGAAGAAAAAATTAGACCAGTGCTTAGATGGGCAAAGGAAGAAACCCTGGCAGTCAAGTAATAGCTATAAGTGGGAGTAGAGGTAAGTATGTTTTGGAACTTAAAAAATATGTGATTGCGGGGCTAGAGGCATGATTTTGCATTCTATGGAGGTTGTATCTTGTTAAATTAATGAATGATTCTACCTGTATTGTGAGTGTCAAAATACAGACTTGCTACACTAAACATCAAAGACTCACTTTTGTTCTTGACTGTACTATAAATTGTTTTTATTATTTGTAATTGCTTCATTATAAAGTCATAGTGTATGAACTTTTTCCTGGATAGAAATAAGTACATAATTTTAAATTTTATATTTACTTTTAATACGTCAATGCTATATGTTCTATAAAAAATTTCATATAATATTCAGCAGTTGTACAATGCCTTATGCTGTTTGTAAAGTTTTAATGAACATGTTCCTTTATACACAATGTTTATTTATCTTATTATGTATTCATATAATTTCCTTAAGGATCACAAAAATATAAATTAGACTGTATTTTCTATTTGTTTGTTTTTTCAGTGTTACTTTCAAAATTTAAGGGGCTAACTACTCTCACCCAATCTTCTATTTGGCTTGTACGAAGTACCGTTCAACTTTTTATTACCTAATGTCAAATTTTAAAAAGCAAAAATAAAATTTTCAAATTTATCAATAATTTAAATAATTTTATTTGTTTACTGCATGTACACTAATTTTTTTTAAATTTCTTACTTTTCTTCAACTTCTGGACTAGTAGTAAGAGTCAATGAAGATTCTACATCAAAAGGTGATTTTTCATCAGTAACTCTACGTGTCTTCCTTGGTGGTGGTTTTGGAGGTGTCTTTGAAGGACGTGAAGATTGTCTTTCAGACTCTATAGCCAACATGACATATTAATTATTAAATTATGAGAAACTAATTAGCTTCTGGGTATGTTCTTACATCAAGTGTGAAGCAGAACAAAAAACAAGCTGAAAGTGCAGTAAGACAAAAAAAATTATGGACTCTCTTACATAAATACACATTGCTTTAACTTTAATCTAGAACCTATCTTCAGCCTACTGTTATAAATATGTAACAGCTTTATGTAGTCTGTGAATAAATAAGTAGATTATCATTACACCTTGTAAGATAAAACAATTGAGCTTAAGCACGTGTGCTTATTTCAACAAAATCTAGGCTTATCCAAACAACCATTTCCTTTAGCTACGCCACACTGAATTTAAAAAACCGAAATATTAAAATGTTATCAATGTAGTTTCACATTTAGAAAAAACACTTTTTACATGGGAAATTATAGTGGTTATATCTTAAAAACTACTCGTCCTAGGTGAATAAAATATCACCAAATGTATTGCACACCTAAATCATGGTTCTTATAAACCACCACTGCTCTTTTCTCTTTGTGATTTGAATAAAATGTATCTCAGTGAACAGGATATTGCAAGAATCACTGTCCAGAAAACAATGCTTTCAGTAATTTCACTTAGATAAGCTTGATGTATTGATTAATAATGAGAAATATATTTAACACTTTCTTGACAGTTTTTGAAATTTCAAAAGAATTCAAGTAGCATAGTGCACACCAGAGTGTAAATATGTTTTATAATGATAGAATACCAACATTCCTTAATGAAACTTATTATTTTAATATACTTATTTAGTTTTCCTAGTATAGTAGTAGTTTTTAAGATGTAGTTTGTTTGTTTTTTATAAAAACCCTACACACACTGTCTGGTTTTATGTATTAGGAAAAAAAAAAGAGGATTTAATTTTTTTAATAAAATGTGTACCATGGTATTATCATGAAATTTCTCTCACATATATTATCCTACATACAAATGTGGCACTAAGGTAAGTAATCTAATTGAATCAGTAATCACTATTAATGTCAAAAACTATATTTTGTTAATATCATAATATTTTTTTATATTTACAAGTTTCATTATATTCATATACAATGTTTCTGTAATGTTGTATTATATCTTTAAGGTTAAATTTCTACAGAACAATGCTAGAAGTGTATACTAACACTTTCAGTGATCACCAACAATTTATTTTGTCTAAATGATGTCTGGTACTAATAGTGTCATATTAAACACCAGTATCTTAAAATGTAAATCATACCGAAAGTATTTTTAATTGTAATTACTGAAAAGTGCATTAATTTGAAAAATAACTACATTTATATAAATGGCAAGCAAACAATCATATCCTTAAGGCATTTGTCCAAAATTATAATTAAACTGAAACAATTTAGACTTGAAATACAGGTGAAGCAAAATTCATGCAAAAATTAATAAAAACAAAGTAGCAAAAAAATCATAATGTTGTAAGAAACATTCTTACATTGGTCTAATTTAATTTCCTCAGATGGATTAAGCATGCCACATGTGAGGTACTAGTTATCAAACTTGATAAAGCATGATGAAGGTGATGTAGTATGGACAGAGTAAGCGTGCCTGGCAGAATACATGTAACAATGTTTTGTTCCAAACCTCTGGAGTGTTCATCTCCTGAGCTGGATTCTTGTTGTTCTTTCCTCTTCTTTTTAGATGCAAGTAAAGTCATCACAACATCAAATACTGAATTCATTTTCTTTTTAGGACAAGTAGTTTCACTGTCATCTGAATCTTCTTCTTCTTCAGTATAGCCATGGTCTAGTGACGTTTCCATACCTTGACCTGGCCCAGAATACTCATCATCTTCGGACTCCTCCTGGGATACTGCAGGTAAAGTAGGATTTTCTGATTTTCCAAAGATACTTGTCAACTTTGCCCAAAAGCTTTTCTTCTCTTGTTTGAAATTATACAACTCAGTTTTGTTTAGAGTGCTTTGCAATGCCTCATGAGAAAGTGAGGTACTTCTTTCCCTTCTATGAATTGGAGTAGTACCAGATGTTTTCTTTTCAAAAGGCAGACTTGTAACACATACTGAAGCTCTTCTCTGTCTGCGATCTATTAACAAGTTGGGCTGAGACTGAGCTTCATGAAGAGTCTGTGGAAGCTCATTCATAGACTTTGCATGAAACATTCTGAACTGAGCCCTTCTCAGAGCACGATCATTGCCATTTTGAGATGAAATAATATCTAATCCTCGACCAGAGTAACTGTCCAAGTTTTCAAAAGCTGAGCTTAACTCTGAGGGATGGGGTTTTACTCTTGCTGAGAAGCTGACTCGTCGATGGTAAGCAGCTTCTGGAACTTTCTCCAAGCTTTCACAACTTCTTACTTTAATAGTATCTACACTTTCTTTACTACCTAACCTTCTAAAGGAACTGTTTTCGCTCTGTAAATGAATACTGTTTGACGCATCATTTAGGAAGTTGGCATTTAAAGTATTTTGATTATTGTCTCTCTGTTTAGATGATACTTCCCCACTAAAGTTACTCAATTGACATACTAAAACTTCTGAGTTTTGTTTATCATTGTTTCTCTTCTGTGACTTCTGATGGTGGGATGAAAGAGGCATGGCTTTGTTTATAGTGGACAATGTTCCTGGACTAATAAAATGAGAAGAATTAAGTGTTAAGGTTTTATTTTCTGGTAAAACTACAGAAAAGCTTTTTACAGAAAATGCATGCTCACTGTTTATGGTATTATTATTTGATGATATTTCACTTTCAGAAGTAGGTGTATCATCAAAAGTAGTGACACTTCGTTTCAGTTTCATTCGCTTTTCCCTCATGTAATTGCCATAGGTATTGGCTAATGATAAATCATGACTTGCTCTTCTTTGAAAACTAAAATCCCTACTGTGATTAAATCCCACATTTGCAAGATTATTTTTATTAACAGCATTTTGTTTCCCTACATCACGAGGGAAATGATTTCTGCCTTCATTCTCAAGCTGATCAACACTCATTCTACGAAACGTAAGTCGAGATGGAGGTTTTACTGAATTCCAAATATGTCTATTTACACACAAGTCATTAGAAATATCTTGTTTCTGAATACTTACAGAGTTTTTTGACTTACAAGTATTTAACGTACCTTGAAGATTTAAAAAGGTAGGTCTTGGGAGTTTTTTCTCTGGAACTCTTGATGATTGACTGTTCTTACCATCACCTACAAATACTGCTACAGCATCAGAGACAGTTTCTTCTTCTGCCTTCTCTATACCCAATGTTGTTGAAAGTGCATCATATTGGAACTGTTTATTATCTTCATGAATAAGAACTTCCAAATTATTTTTTGATACAAACCCATGTCCATTAGAGATGTTGCAAATCTGCTCAGAATCACTGCAACTGACAGAATCTCCAACTGTTTCTTGGACATCACGCGTGTCAGAAAGTAAGACCGTATCTTTCTGTAGATTTTTAGAATCAAATTTTAACACATGATTCTGATTTATAAAAGTTTGTTCAACCTTTTGATTATCTTTGCTATCTAAATGTTCAATGTCTCTTACTTGGTAATCAAAGATTTCCTCAACTAAATCATGTTGTTTAGAGCTGGTTATAGAAGAGTGAATATTTTCATTGTGTTCTTCTGTGAATATTTTTTCCAACATGTTAGGATTATCATTTTCTAGAGATCTTGCTTCAGTACAAACTTCTCTTTGAACAATGTCAAATACTGATTTTTCTAGACTTCTGAAAACTGGTTCTACTTCATATTTATTTTCTTTATTGTTAGTTTCTTCAGCCTCATCTACACAACTAACAATACACTTATCTAATTCTTTTCCACCATCTCTTGTATTGCATAAGAGTTGATTGTCTACAAATTGAGTTTTGTCAATATATTTTGCACTAATGTTGGTAGTCTGTGAAAAAACATCAGCATTAATGTTGTTATAATTTGTTGCTACCTGGCTATCTTCAACATTAATAAATGAATTTTCACTGGAGAAAGAAAAAGAATGCAAATGTTTGGGAAAATCCTCCTGCTTCTCACCATTAGAGTCCTTAACATCTTTAACACTGACTATTGCATTTTTCTCCCACATCTCTTCCGATCCTTGCAGAGTATTAGGTCTTCCAAGTGTCCCTTCAAGAGATTCTGGACATGATGTCTCCTACAAATGAACAGCATCACACATAACATATGTAATTGTAACTCAATAAGAGATAGTACATACAACACTAAAATTCAGTAACTCTTGTATGTCACATTAAATCTGATAAACTACTTTTTAAAGATAAATTATTATTTCTAAATCACAAATATATAGCTTAAGTTAATTTTTTCAATAAATTTTATGCATCAAGGATTTATAATAACAATATGGGTTTCATATTGAAAGCATATGTTAAAACAATATGATTATTTGTAAAATATATTTTTAAGAACTCTTGAAAGTCATCATCAGAACACCACTCATCTACCAAAGCAAATGCCAAGATGTTAAGTTTGGATGCAGCTCGTTTATTAATTAACTTGTTTAACAACTGGTGATTAGTTTCTCAGTCATAAACCATATCAATTGAAACAGATCATAATCTACACAATCAACAAAGTGATAAGAAATGTTAATGATAAATTTCATGAACAAAAGTTCAGAGAAAATTGAGAGACCAAAATAATCGTTATGTTCTCTTAGTTTATGGTTTAATATTGCTCATGTCAGTATCCTAATACTTGTGAAAAACTTTTCAGCACTTCTAAAAATAGTCATTAGTCTGTTTTCAGGTTTACTTGCTTGAGGATCTTTACCTTATCAACTTTCTTAAAATTTTCAAATCTAACTTTGAACTGATGCCTTCCCATCTCTGATAGAGCTGCAGCTTGCATATTTGTGAAAGGCAAGAAAATGAAAATGTACTGTTCTAAGTTATTATTTTCATTCAAGGAAACCTCTTTCTAAGATAACGGTATACAGAATGAACATTATCAGTGTTGTTTTATTTTGTAATTATTATACCTGCATTTTATATCAAATCAACAACCTCTTCAGGCCTAGAGCTTGGAATAGTTTGTGGAATAAAACATGAGTGTGTTCTCGTGTCTCTGATGACTAGATCACAAATTATCAATAATGAGATTAGGTTAAAGTAGGAAAAATTCAAAAGTAATCAATCAGTTATGGGAAACATTAATTGAAAAACATCTGATATCCATATCAGCATATACTAATCATTGTTTAATAACTAGACTGCTTATGTCAGCAAAAAAAATATTCTTATTTAGTATTGCTGAAAGAGTTTTATGGTGAGAAAGATATTTAAAATTACATCTAGATTCAGCATATCTTTTTGAAGTAAATCTATTCAAGGAAAACCACTTTTAATTGTTTATGAAATTTTACAAATGACAACCAGGTAGCTAAATCTTCTTATGTAACTACAAATATACAATTTAAACCATTAGACAAATATTCCTGACAATATTCAAACTGGTGTGTTTTTATAAAGTCTAGAAACAAACTTCTCTTTCAAAAGGTTTTAAAACATATCAGTTTGCGAACAAATAGGATAAGTTTTAATATTATCTAAATTTTCATTGAATAAAGATTTTCTTGGAAGTTTTAAACATTCCTACAGTCTGTTGGTTTTATATGTATGTATTTTGTACCAACTTCCTTATACCTTAATAAAACCCAACTGACTGAACAATAAAATGAAAACTGAAAAAATCAACCCCCTCAAAATATTCTCAAGCAAAATTTGGAAACAAGAGAAACAGTAACTTTAGTTAGTAAGTGCATTAAATACTTATTGGCCACAGATATAAATTTGTGATTTCAAGAAGAAGGACTATACATTGGTTCTGAAAACAATCATCTCCTCTTGTCCTTTAATAATATTTTTTTATAATATTCACTAAACACACTCTTGAACAAAAAAAAATATAACATTAAATAATGTTCCAATTTTTAAATAACAAAAAATTCTAACTTCAATAAAAATGCACCATTCTTAACATTTCTATACATATGTATGAAGCCTCTAATTTATCAAATTCAGCATCTAATAAATGTATTTAAGATGCAGCAGGAATTCATTTAAAGTACAAAAAAAGTGGGTGTGATATTTAAAAACTCAATAAATTTATTGTTAGAAAAAGCAGCATCTCTACTTAATCTGATAATGAAGCATGGTTCATGCAATTCTAACAGCCCATGAGTGAAAGTAAAGGAGAGTATATTAAGTCAACCACACTACATCTGCCACATCCAGTGCCAACAAGACCATTCCCCCAAAACCAGGGTCCATCAGACCAGCTGGGACGTGACAGACGCAGTAGTGATCCAAGTGCTGTTGGTCATCATTTTTCATGAACAACAACGGTTATGGTTTAAACAAGATTTACGAAGTGAATTGCAATTATTATCATTTTATTTAAGTCATTTACAAATCAAAGCTGAATTTTAAAAGAAGTAAACAGAAAATTAAAAGAATTTATACTTACATATTCTGATAACAAAATATAAAAAGGAATGGATTAATCGAATTACACCTATACTGCTTGGCTATTTTTGCAAATGATCTACTTATTTGCATATGCAAAATAGACTGATCACTTCATATGACAGGTAATTGTTTATGACATAGTAATATACAGATGTAGTCCTAGCTAACCTGTAAGATCGTTGAAAAAAACCAAAAATTATTTCAGTTTTCAAGGTGATATAACGTGATATCCATTTAGCAGGAAAGCAGTACAAAGCCATTCATCATTAATCAAAGTAGCAATCAAATAGGAATATGCATATCACCAGGGAAAACTATAACTGCCAATTGCTGGAGAAAAGGAATTACTGGACAAGCTTGTAAAATGCAACAGATATCAGACTAAGTTCCAACTGACCAATTCCTTCAACAGTAAACTTAAACCATCTCCAAATACGTCATGTGAAAGATATCATAAAAACTGCCAACAACAACAACAAGTTTGAAAATTATTTATCTGAAATGCAAATAGGAAAGCATGTCTTTAGTGGTATTCAAAATGCAAATTAAGTACTATAAATTACTGGAAGCATAAGATGTGGTTTGATGGGTCACATTTTACCCTTTTCTCTTTTAATACTGTAGTAGGGCTAAAAATAGAGAGAAACTTCATTACGTAATTTTGATAATAGAAACTATGCACGTTACTAGAAGTGGTGTAAGAGTGTAGGGAACATTTTCATAACACGGGTTGATCTTTTTTTACATCTACAAGTCTGTTTTTTTGTTGCTATAAGTAATAAAATTAATTCCACCTGTAATTATTACCTTTGACTGTTCTAAATAAGAATCCTCTCTTTTCCTACTATCCCCCATATTCTTCGTCTCCTGGTCTTTTGCCTTCTCCAACCCATTTTCCTGTTGATTCATACTTTTATTTATAATATTTTCTTCATTACTACATGCTGAAGCTTCACTGTCCCACTCACTGTCAGTCAGCACATCTGATGGGTCAACTAGAGCATGATCTTCCTTTATCATGAGTTCTTTAGGTGGAATTCCAACACTCGAAGTGAAACCAAACATTTTGTCATCATGAAAACTGGTTTCAGGAGACTCAGAAAAATGTTTTCTCTTGTAAATGTGCTTACTTGAAGGGCTCTCTGGTGAATCTACTACTGAGTTTTTACTAAAAGGAGCAATGGAATGAGAAGGTGAAGATGAGGTTGGAGTTTGTTCAGGATGGGAGGAATGATAGGTAGTAGGAAAAGAAAGGGGTTGTTTTGTAGGAGAAACATCAGGAGAATAAATGTGTGTACTGCTTCTCCTTCTCACCACTGAAGCAGAAGGAATATATGAAGGAGAAACAATATCCTCTACCTCTGACTCTGATTCAGAACTTGAATGAGCTGCAATCATCCAGTCACTCTTTAGAATTGATTTGGTGACCTCTGATGCTGGTTGTAATTTATCTTCATCTGTCAGATATGTACCAGAGATTAAATATTCCTTCTCAGCATCTGTTTCTTCAGAGATTCGACCTCCTTCTTGATGTTGGCTTGCTTCATCTACAGTAGACAAGTCTTGATCTATATCAGTATCATCACGTATGTTTTGACTTCTTTCATCATTTTGTTTTTCTTTCAGATCAGAGATATTACTAATCTCAGGAGTACTAACTTCACTAGGGTCACTAAGACCAAATTCTTTAAGAAAATCTGCAAAAATACATCCCATAAATTAAAAATATAAATTACCTTTGCAAAACAAATTTGAAGTCGTATTTAAAGTCTGGCACTAAAAACAAAAAGACTCTTGCATTCATAGAGTATACAACATTAGAATTAAAATGATATAAATTCATCAAAGAAATAGTAGTTATACAGATCCTTATACTTATCACATTACTGAACTATTCTGAAAGTGAAACATTCAGATTGCAATTAAACGTGATCAAAATGTAGTTCAAATACGCAAGCAGAAAAAATTAGAATTATGAAATGCAATACTTTAGTAACTAAATACATATTAAGACTATTATTTCTTTTCAACTTCAGGGTTATTTATGATGTGGAAAAATAATTATCTTCGACACTTTACCAAGCTTTCTCTGTTCTACTGCTGCAAATTCTTTCTCTGTTGAACCTGAAAGAGCCATGGGAATTAAAAGTCAATGTTAGTATTCCAAATACTATGGCATACTTAAAACCTTTTTTGACGTAAAATTTAATTTAATAATAACAATATTCACCTCTTTATCAATAGAGGACACTCATTGATCAAAATGTTCCTCATTGTGTAACCATCTACTTTTGTTGCACGCAAAGTAATTAAAATCAAGAGAATCGGTTAACCAGTGATAAGACATTTGGAGTAAGGACTCCAAGTGCTTTTACTTTATTAGAATCAATAAAACTGTTAATTGTTACCTTTTACATAAAGAAAACATTTTTGAATAACTGGAAACATTTAAAGATTTTTTTTTTACATTTTCTATGTGAAATACTGCCTTAAAATCATCTTCTATGATATATATATATATATACTTCATACAGGAAAGACTCTTCTAACTACCATGTTGGAATGTATTTATCTGACCAATTACAGGGATTTGACCATCACCTTTATAAAACACCCATGAACCCTAAGATAAATCAAGCTCCTACTGGGTATGACAAGCATCATCATCTGAAGTTACCCAAATTAGCCTAATACAGTAATTGGAAGATTTATTCTTTCACATTACATTTGGTAAGTCATTTTTATTGTTTGTGTTCTTTTTCATTATTTATTGAATGATAATTTTTCAATAATGTCAAATAACATTATTGTCTATTCCATAATTTAAAATAGTATATAACTGAGAAAAATGTGAAATAAGACTAGCAGAAACTTTTTCAGGATTAATGCTACCAGATAATTCCTGCTCTTCAATCAAATAAGGTGATAGGCAGCTTAGGTAACAGATTGGGTTTGTTTACCAATATGAGAAAAGGGTAGATGTCCAGCATATTTTGCATCCACATGATCAGAAAAGCCAAACTGGGTCACCAACAGATGATTGGGCATTAACAGCCTCAAGACACTGATCAAAGAGAACTGACATTGCAACAATGCAAACTCCCTGCACACTACAAGAAAACTGTGTGAACATGGCCCTCCAAAAAAAATTTCAAAGAGCTGTAGAATCTTCTGTATAAACTACAGTAATAATATCAAGGTTAACAATGATTTCAGAATTCACAAGTAAATGTTTGTTTGTTTGTTTTGAATTTCGCGCAAAGCTACACGAGGACTATCTGCGCTAGCCGTCCCTAATTTAGCAGTGTAAGACTAGAGGGAAGGCAGCTAGTCATCACCACCCACCGCCAACTCTTGGGCTACTCTTTTACCAACGAATAGTGGGATTGACCGTCACAGCTGAAAGGGCGAGCATGTTTGGTGGGATGGGGATGCGAACCCGCGACCCGCAAATTGCGAGTCGAGCATCCTAACCACCTGGCCATGCCGGGCCAGCTAAGTAAATGAGAGCACAAAGTTTACAGCACAACTGTCAACAAGAAAAATTTGGCTTGTGGCAGGAAAGTAAGGCTTTATGAAAATTCCCTAGGGCTTGCACAATAAGTCACATGTAAAGTTAGAGAGTGAAATTGTAGTTAACACAGCAAGAATGGGTCAACAAGAAAAATGCTTACAGTATTTCAGAGGTGGGTTTACCTAATACAAAGTTCCTGATTTTGGCTGACCAATTACTATTTATTTATGTTAGTAATAGGGATAAAAAGTAGAGAATGAACTAAAAGTTCTTCTTAGATGTGAATGTTCATATTTTATCAGAGAAATGTACATTAAGGTTTTACCATGTTTTCTCTCTTTTGCTTCCAAAGATTCTACTTCCATTGGAGCTGCAAAAAAATACCAAATATTAATGTAAACCCTACTCTTGAGTATTCTATGGCTTAATTAACACTAAACAAAAATAAAATATTTTTTTCTTTATAAATGCACACATAAAGATAGAAAAAAAAAACTGAATCAATTAACATACAGTACTACAAATTATTCTCTCTATTAAACACATAGTATTCGAATAGTTTGGTAAGAACTTCCAGTCTAAAATCACATTCGAACTTTTGATTAGTTGATTATTTTTGTGGCATTAACTGATGTAATTGTAATTTTGATCAATCAATTATTTTACATGACACTAATTGATGCTCACAGATAATCGATTACTCAAGTTAATTGCCCAGCTTTAAAGTTGACATGTAGGTCTCCCAAATATCCTCATCTTTATATAAATGAAAGTGATTGAAACCTTATCATGACACTTATATTCAGTTCATCTCAGAAATTACAATTCTTGCTAATCATACCAAGCTGCTTAAAAATCCTACTAAGAAGTAAGTAACAAAAAATGCTACTGTTTACCTCCAGGTTCGTGTGAAGAAGAGATAACTGGGGATGGCAAATCTTCTTTTATTACGATTTCTGGTTCATTCTGTAATGGTATAAAGAAACCAACAATAGACAAATTTTATGAAATATTTTGTTTCTTACTTGAAAATACTTCTCACACTTGGTAATGTTTTCTAATAAGTGTTGTTGATAGCACTTATTAGAAAACATTACCAACACCTTCCTAACACAGAAACTCACAAGTCCAATTAAGATACCAACTGTACCCAAACTTACTATATACTCGTGTCTTCCCTATACTGGCAAGCAAAGCTTAAATTTAAAAAATCAACTTAAACGCACACTTGGTCGTTACTACCCGCAAGTGGATTTCAGATTAGTATTTAAATCCACATCACGCATAAGAAAAATTTTTCCCTACTAAAGATCTCCTATATTGGCAAAACCAAATGCCATTTAAAAGTCGGAGCCTATGAACATATGGGAATTTCCATCAAAATGCAAATAAAATTAGTAACCCGTGTTTCCTCTATAAGCCAACATAGTGAAGAAACAGGACATCAACCTATACTATCAAATTTCTCTATCTTCTGCAAATCTAATACTGACCTGGAATTATTGATTAAAGAAACCCTCCACATCAAACAGCACTCTCCAACACTGAAAACATGCAGTCTTCATTTAAATTATACATTTTTAATATGTTCGTATTATTTATTTTACTTTTTTGTTGTGTTTTCTTGCTGTAGTTTCTCACCATGATTATTGTTTTGTGTTTTATTTGTTTAATTATCGTCATATTTAGCAATTGTACTTTGACAATGTCCAATGGCTTATGTAAATTTATTTTATTTTGCTTTAGATACTGAAGATGGAATCTGATAGAATTCTGAAACATTTATCTGTCCCCTTTTTGTCAATAAACAATGTTGTATATCATAAGTGTCGTAATGTTGTTTATTATCAAACTTCGTTTTCCTTCAAACACATCGATTGCTGATGAAGTAAAATAAAGTTTTACATACAGTTGTTGACATGCTCATTAATTATATATGAATCACTACACTTCATCCTATGTAGCATCAGAGTATTAATAGCTCCTTATAAAAATAATTTCCATATGTTAATAGAGTAGTGTATCACCACAGATATGAACTAAGGTGCCATAAGTCAACCATTAAAAATGCACCTTGGGTAAACTTATGGGTGGAGAAGTGTGTTTCTTGTATGTGCTGATTTGCATTCATAATGGCTTTTCAGACAATCGAGGTAATGGCTGTCAAACAGTAGCAAAGGGTTGTAGGATTCCAGAAAGAACTGATTGGTAATTGAAAAATAGCTATAATTTTCTCATAACATTATTATGAAAACAGTGCACAAAATACAAAAATAGGCTGAAGAATTTCTAAAATTTAAATGAAGGGAAATAGTTTTATCAAGGAAGTAACAGGATCAGTAGTAAAGTGAAGTCAAACAATGTTCAAAAATATGTCTGACTAGCACATAAAAGAAAGATATATTTTTTGACTTGCTAAACAAAATTTGATTATTACCAACATAATATACTTTTGCATAATCTCTCTCTCTCTCTAGGAACCCTATCCAAGCAGGACATTGGTGACATTGGTCTTCTACAGATCTCTTCTCCTTGAGGCCCATAAAATATACAATGTCAATACATTCATCCATGTAGATATACACTTGAAATAAGTCAACTACTGTCTTCCACGATCTCTCCTTCTTTCAATCTTTCAGTTACAATCAGACTTTCTATTTCTTCCTTTCTCATAATGTATCTGAGAAACTATAACTGACTTTTTCTTATGCTAGTCAGCAGCTTCCTCCTGCTACCTGTTCTTGATAAAATATTTTCATTTGAGGTTTGTCTTGTCCAAAATACCTGGAAGATGTACCTTAAGAACCAGTACTCAATTGTTTCAAATCTCTTTCCCAAACTTGACAATACTGTCCAACATTCTGACAAATGCATGAAATTGGTATAACACAGCAATTCAAAACTTTTGTATAATACTGCCTGATAATTATACTCCTAATTAATTCCTGTCCTGAATTTTATACAGCCAATGAAAAATTAACAATAACTTACATTATACCTCTCAAAAAATGAAAATGCCTTTTAACAAGTATGCAGTATACAAAGAAGTATTAACTATGAACTGTCTAGCAACATAAGAATTAGGAGGAAAACTGTACAATCTGAATATTAAAAGTTTTTTACAGTAAATAGAATTGTACTAAGAAGTATATGTAGTGTAAAAGTAAATTATTAAATTTTTTAATTACTTAATAAATACATAATTAGTTTAATCCTTCTTCCTCTGTCAAATGCTATTTGGATTTCAAAGATTATGGCAAACTACTGAGATATAGCTTATAATGATTTCATTAATACTAATTTTCATAATAGTAACTGCATCATAGAAAGTCCAATTTGAGTTACATTTGCTGATATGAATCCCGATAACGTATATTCTGTACATCTGTGCAGATTGATAAATATGCACAAGTTAAACAATGAATTACTTTATTTTCAGATATATATATAATGCACAATGAAATTGTGATATACTGCATTTTCTTCATCTGATGCTTTGTTTCATTTTTAGTTTTTGTTTTACTGCCTTCTGTGATTTAATGATTTTTGTCCAGAACTACAAGTTTCTTTCATCCCCTTGTTTCCAACAGTTTAATGGCAAATCAAGTATATTAAAAATTATCATTGAAAAATAAATGTTAAGTATGGAGAAAATTAACATGAAGAAGTCTGCAATACTTCCGTACTTTAAGGCGTACACTGTACAGTCTAGCAGAATGAACAACCCACACTATTCACACTATAACAATAGCAGTGTTTTAATGTATGGTGTATTCTGACTACCATTTCCAAACTAGTTTTAAATATGAATGTTAATTTGTGATGAGTAACATATATACAGAAAATGTTTTTTTTCTAAGCACAATTACATTTTGGAGACAAGGGATTTAAGAGATAAAAAGAGGGAGGAGGGACTGTACAATTTTTGCGCAATAAGGTTATGAGTAAGAAAGCTATAGTTTAGGGAACAAATATCTCCATATTTTCTGCTTCTAATTTTTCCCAAATTAAAACTGAAAATTTGCCCAAATGACCGTATGTATTGCAAGCTAGGGGACTGCTGCCCCTCAGACTCCATGCCTCGTATGCCTATGTCTGCAATTAATGATTGTGTGAGCAATGTAAGTCATAATTACCTGTTCCAAGTTCAAATATTCATTGATACTATCATTATCATTCCATGTGTCTTTGTCATGTGCTCCACTTTCAGGATCTGCAAGTAAAGATAATACAGGTCAGTATTTGAGTGCTTAACACCCACATAAAAAAGTCTTGCTGTGACCAATTACTTAACCTACAAGATTTTTCTAAAAATATCTGCTAAACATATCCAATTTGTATAGTAAAATTTGGACTAATGTCAACAAAATTACTGGCAAAAACTTACAGTGAATAAATTTTTTGGCTTTTACAAAGCTACCTCAAAATGCAATTCCAGAAACAATGATATTTAGATAGATTTATTATAGATTAATTATTTTAACTTTTTGGAAAATTATAAACCAAAATCTCACTTAAAATTCTGTTTTAATGATAAATTTCTTGTTAATATAGTAACCGGAGAACTACTTATTTTCTTTGCTGATCATAACACATTTTAAGTTAGGTATTCTAACATCTATATATATATATATATAATAACCAAATGTCTGTTTGTCACACACTGTATTTCCTGAACACTTAATCATAGAAAAAATAATTATATATTAAAATGTTTACTTTCAAGAGTACATTACAGGAAAATTATTCACTTTTTGCAATTCCTAAAATTTCATATCGATATCAATATCTGTCCATCACTCTTCATGTGTGTTGAGTGGTCATTTTGTGAAAAAAAACTTATTAAGAACAAAAATATTTCATTTCATGAGGAAATTTCATGAAAAAATGGAACTCCCCCTGTAGGTTGATTGAAAGAAATATTTTGAAGATATAGAGCATGAAGGGGAAAAACACATAAAGAGAGGAACTTATTATTATTTACATGTCAGTATTATTTACATGCATGATTTTATTCTACAATGTAAAATTAATTGATCTGACTTATCTCCTTTTTGACACTTCTTATAGAAATGACAACTGTAAAAAAGTGCTCAATTCTGTAGTGGTCTTTTCTTGCACACAGTAAAGCAACAAATAGTGGTGGCACCCAGCAAAAACAATCCCTATGGCTACTTGGCAAACCTCAGCTCTCTACTGTGTTGAATGTACACATTACATCAAAACTCAAATATTTTTGCCAACAATGCATGTAGTTAGTCGTCTTTGCTTAAAAACAAATGCAATGCACTTTTCCGTATTGAAATAACACATGGAATGATCAAAAACAGTTGTAAACAGCTGCACTAGACAAACATATTGCACATATGCTCCGGTTCAAGAGATTGTTGATTGCACATTTTATATTTATTCCTCACTATTTTTAGGAAAATTATGATTGAATTGTTTCAATGGGTATGTGCTAGTTTAAGTATTAAAGTGATTACTGAGGTAATAAATAATATTATAATGAAAACTATACGATTAAATTAAATGTGTTCATCTTCATTTCATTAGTTATTATATCTATTTTTTTTTTTTTCTAAGCATATAGTAAGACTTTTACTTTGTATGGAAATCACTGAAATTCAATCCTCCATTTTCTATTAATTAAGAATTGAAATATGTTTATCCATCAAAAAGAAAACTGCATTTTCATTTTGTATATTAAATAACAAAATTTCTTCCATGATAGTTTTACATTCAGAAGAGGATTGGTAATTGTATAAATTATGATGGTGATTTAATCAGTCAACCTATGACCATCACTACACGATAAGCACTTGTTAGGCCAAGCATTTTATTCTATTAACAAATCTTTGAAGAAATTATATTAATTTTTTACCATAAGTTGAAACTTTATACAAAAGTCAAAGCATACCAGTAAAAATATATCTATCTTTCAACATACAGAAATATATTTATTTTTTTACTCTTTAATATCATTGTGGATTTTGCACATCATGATGACATTTAAAATTTCTAAGACAAGATTATTATGGACCAGTGAACCTGTGGAACTATGGCCCACATTTACAGGTCATTATAACGCAAATTTAATTTATCTAATCAAGGTACGAGCGGTAATTAGTAGGTCTACTTATTTATGTAAATCAATACCAAATTTTGGGGCTGTTTTTCGGGGAATCTCCTTAAAAGAGTTTAGTGAAATACTCATGTTTCTTAATGGATTGGGTGCAACGTTTTACCTATGTGCAAAACTCAGGGGCCAAGACATTCATTTGGCACAACTTAGAAATAGGTGAGTCCAACTGTTTAGAAGAAGAGGTTTGGGGAAAATCCACGGGTTCCCTAAAGCATAGGGTAAAAAATATTACTTTTTTTGTGAATCTCAGGGCTGAGACGATTCATTTAGTACTATTTAGAAGTCGTACAACCAGTAGTTTAGGAAGGGTTACGTGACACACAGGTGGCTTTTTGTCTTTATACAGGAGATTGGCCTAAAAATAGTCATGTATTAAAAGAGCACTCAATATTAACTCAAAAGTTTAAATGTCCTTGGGACTTCCAAGCCTAATTTATAGAAGCCAATTAACTGATTGTTGGAGTCATCTCCTCCCACCTCCTATTAATATAATGATGGATTTGGATGGGTCAAAGTGCATGTCATGACTTTTTTATAGAGTTACATTCAAAATTTAATTAAACAAATTTATTATCAATTTATGTTGATAAACTTGGCATCAAAACATAGCTTATGATTCAAATTTCAATATTATGTAAATTTTAATTATAGTAGTTTTAGGAAATTGTATTTTTTGCATGAGAATGTTATGTCTTCTAAATTTTATATATGAAATAAAAATTAATCATATTTTTGGACTACCAACACATTTAAAAAAATTTAGGCCTTCAGTGCTTGATCCAGCAAAAAAAAAAACAAGTCTCAGTATAAGTACTAAATTTCTTGTTTTAATGTACATTTTTAAATTTGTTGTTATAAAATTAACTAATATGTAAAAATTCGAAACTTATTAGGTTAGATAAGAAGTTAAATGGAAAAAATTATGTTACATAAACTCTTGTAATACTCAAAATCCTAGAATAGGCACATGACATTATGTAACAGTAATTTGATTGTGTGGTGCTTGTAACTAAATCTTTTGTTTATACAAAGATGCCAAGCTATGATAAATGGCTTTTGGCATACTCTGAGATGATCTAAGTGCAGAAGTAAAGCAATAAAACTTAATCTAAGTCTGTTATATTTACCAGTAAGAATGGAGTGTATAATTGTCTGGTGTGATATGCAGTCATTCCAGAAAGAAAAAAGGTTAATTTAGATTAATTTGTACTTTACAACTTTTCATTTGACCCTACAATGCAAATCACAATAGAAGGTAAAATATAGTTTAACTTAAAAACATTTGATATTCATTTAGAAGGTTCTAGAGGTTATACAAATGTAATATAAAATAATAATATAAGTATTCTTATTCTTATTAAAAAAATTTCCTTGTGCTAGATTGACTTAGTAAAAGCTTCATAAATTTACAGGCAAATCTTTAGTAAAAATATAAGAGACTTTTAATGTTTATTTTTTGTTTTAATTTTTCTTACTAAACTAAAGATAACAACTCAAACATTTGACTTAAAAACTAAATTATGAGTGGCTATTTTCCAATTAGAAATGAATTTAATTACTTTGCCCTGTGGTATTTTCAGTTAATTAAGTTATTGGCAAAACTATATTGTAATGTCAAGAAAATATTTTTTATATGTAGATTCAACATATAATCAGTTTATTAGACATAAGAACTTCTAAAAATTATAGAAATCTTTTTGATTTATGTTTCTAAATATTATGTTATCTAACATTTTTTCCAATAACAAAGAAATATCAAATAATCTTAGGGAGAGACTATGTATAGATCATATAACATTTTTGAAAAAAACAATCAGGCAAAAAATAAGAAGTTTGAATCTTGAACAAAAGCAATAAATCAAGTTTATGAAGTTAAGCCCTTAGTTTATAGCCGTGAAACTTGTTCCCATTCAGAAATTATGCAAAAATAACAGCTTACCACTTTCTTTTGCACTCTCTTCAACTGTTTTCATATTTTGAGTTAAAATATCTACTATTTCAGATTTACAGGTTAAAGCTGCAAAATCTAAAGCAGTCCATCCTTGATTATCCTGCATTTCTATATTGGCTCCACTGCTGAGTAACAAAGACACTAAAGGAGCATTCCCAGCTTTACTTGCCAGCATAAGTGGTGTCCTATAAAATAGATGGAAAACAAAAATTAATCGATTTTACTATATATTCAATCTCTTAATATTTCAGGAAACCTGAAAGATGCAGGTCTTTGGATATTATGCAGTAACTTGATAAGCCACCATAAAGAAGAAAGGAAGGAAAGGCCTAAGGAAAATGTGAATGGAACAGACACCCTATGTCAGCAGAGTTGCAAAACACATGAAGTAACAAGGAACTTGGACAACTGATTCAAGCTCTGTCACAATCTGCTGAATACATCAATTGTCTTATCACATGGATCAAAGAATGATTTGTTTGGCCCCAATGGTTTTGGTTGACAGAGACAACATCCGACTTCAGCATCAATGCACACATTGAGTGTTGATTAGATTCATTCAAGAGACTAATGGAGTTAAAATGAGCTGCAAACCTGTTTTACTGAACTAAAGAGAAATACCTCAAAGCAGGTTTCTTTTTTCTGACTTTTTTTTTTACACTGTTCTGTTTACTTTATTTTCAATAAAAATACTATGTTTTAATGTTGGTCTCTTATTAACTATTTTGTTAATAGTTGTTAAGCTCTGCACAGTCACCTTAGTGGAAGTTTTGGCTATAATAAGACCTGTCCACAGTACGAAAACATTTTTCGCAATCCGCAAAAGATTTACAGAAGCCACTGATATAAATATAAGTTTAATATTAGATTTAAAAAAATGTATATTTATAATTTCTATTCTACATACACGTGTTTATGTTTAATAAATACTGGCATTATGTCAAAATCAACTTGAATAAGGCTTTAAAACCTAATATCTTAACTGTAAAAAGAGCTCCAATTCTGTAAACTAAGAACACAACTCAAGTCTCAGATAGAGAATATCATTTTTATAATAACTTTGTTTATACTACTGGTTGTTATAATTCTAAGATTAAAGAAAATTGATGTTGTCAGTGTTCAAGGACAGTAGAAGTATATTACAAATGTGGCTATGTATCATAGTCATATTTTAATGCCTCTATTTACTCAATATTCAAACATCACGTTTATCACTACTTTTCAGAATTACTGCTAGAATACTGACTTTATCACACACCCTTATTATCATTACCTATTTACAGTGCATTATACTGAAACATCTCGCATGCTAAGATTATTATAAAACATATCTACTTTAGTGCTTTAGCTAACATATGCCACGAAACAGCTTGCCACATATCCTTAATCAAACCCTGCAAAGGTTTTGTTCAGTTAGACAGAGTTGCAAGAAAAGATTTCAATCTTAAAAAAAATCTTTCTACCTAATTGTTAGATTAAATCTCAGAGAGTTCAAGTAATAAAAAAATAATACAATAGTAAAAATGTAAACAATGTATGACAAATTTATTCACTATTTCTGTAACGTAAAAACCTAATACAATATAAATGTATCATAAAGCTACTACTTAGTATTAAACATTTTATTGGTTAAAAATGTGACAGTGAATTATGGTTGAACTTACAACTAAAAAAACTGGTGAGTTGGCTTATCGGTCTTAAAAAATATGTACTGTACTTACTTTCCTTCTTCATCAGCTGAATTTATCAAAGCACCCATTTCTAGCAAGCACTTCACAACATTTTGTTGTCTCTGAGCTGTGGCCACATGAAGTGGAGTCCATCCTTCCTATAAGTTACAAACAACACTTGTAAGCACAATATTTTTTAGAACTAAACATTACAAATTCTTGATTATCTTTTTGTGGTTTACTTTAAACAAGATATGTTCTATTAAAAAATGTATATATAAAGCTAAATAATTACAATTTTATTTTTTGTGTTTTTTCATATTTGATGTTACTTCTTCAATGAACAATGGTTCTGAAAATCAAGGTTCAATATAGATTACGTCTGTGTGTCAAAATCAAATAAAAGTGCAGACTGGCTAAATCAAAAATTTACAAACAAAATTATGCCTGATCATTATATAATTTTCATACAAGATTTTACCAATAACTGAGTTTACTTTAATATCAAAATATGCAATTGACTTTTCTTAAATTGGCTAACAAACATAATCACTTCTAAAATGGAGGCATAATGATAACAAGCTATTATTATCACATATTTGAAGAAAAGCAAAAAAAAAAAAACAACCAAATAATCTATATGAAAATGAGAAATGATACAAAAGTATTCTAATTACTATAACATAGTATCAAAACTCAGAAGAAATGTTATACATACTACAGATGTCAGGAGTGGGTTATCTTTGAAAACTGAGGCCTTGATTGTGAATGTCGAGACACAGTACACTAGAGAACAAATGAACGCAATAAATGGAACAAACTGTCAGAAGTCTTGACATTGGAGAAATTAGTGTGTGTCTTCTTCAGTCTCACGTTGTCTTTTGGCAGGAAAATCGGTCAATAATGCTTTAGTATAAAATGTCCAATTATGGGTAGTTTTTACTTTCTTAGCCTATATTCTTAAGATAATAGGACAAGAGTGTAATAATTGGTAAAAACAGGACAGGCTCCATTAAGGTAGTTTTATTTTTGTAACAGGGTGTTTGACTTACAGAATAAGTTGTTTTCAGCTGTATGAGGTCAGAATTTTACAGGAATTTAAGAGGGGAATAGGAAATATCCAGTAAAGCAAAGGGTAGTTTTAATTTTTACTTTTCCCAAAGATGGATCTTCAAGGACAGCCTTGAAGAAACAAACAGTCTCTTCTTGTCTGTAGGTTACATTATATTATGAAAAACAAAACCTCACTTTTCTTATTAGAAATTATTCATTAAACTTACACTTAGTATTACCTTTCACTTGCACATGCCAATTTTTTTAAGTTGGTGCATTCACCATTCTAGTCATGTTTACATTAAAGTTGCACGAGTCCTTCAATATCAAAGAAACAGAAGTCAACAGAATAAATCAAATATAAGTTACTGCATTTTTGGTGCATGTTTTTTCATAACAGATGAAATAATATAGCATAGTAACTGGTAAAGAAATATCAACAAATAACTTTTATGGGTTTTTTTTCAGAAAGATAATTAAAGCTGAACTTCTTAAAGTGTGTAATAAAGATTCCTGAAATTTATATTATGAAAAGTTTGCATGTCTTACAGCATTTCTTGCATTAACATCCAGTCGTTGCTTCAAGAGTGTAAAGGCAACTTCTGGCTGTCCAGTCCTCACTGCCAAGTGAAGTGATGTATCTCCATACTTATCAGAAAGATTACCATTAGCACCACAGGTCAGTAGAAATTCGACTATATCTGCATGGTAGCATTCAACAGCCTGTAATATGTTATAAACCTGCAAGTTTACTTTATAACAATAACAACAACAACAACACACAAAGAAAAAAAAATCTAACTTGGTTTTATTCTATTTTTTTTATCTTACTGGTTAAAATTATCTTAGTTAGAGACATTGGTTATATATATATATATGTATGAATATTATGTACATTTATAAATGTAAACCCATGAAGAAGAAATTACATTCAGGTCTCTAAAGAAAATAATTTAACAATAGATATAAAACATATATTTGCAAATAAAGATACTTAAACTGCTTATAAAATTATCCTACTCAAGTTCATAAATATTTTATTTCGATGTACTAAATTCCAAAACAAAATTAGTCTCAATTAAGACAATCCTCCAACAAATGCCTAAAAATTCTGAAAAGCATTTGTTAAAAAATTACTGATAATATTAGAAATTAATTTTAATAGACTTAACTTCAAAGACAGTACATGAATAACTACAATTAGTGCATTTTGTTTGCTGTGATACTTGTATAAAAGATAACCAATCAATTAAAATTAGATGGACAGAAAATTATGAAAGAATATACATTAAACTTTTCGTATACATGGTAAGTAACACTGTCTTGTGCTTGGATGGCAATAGCTTCCTTGATTTTTCTAAGTTTGGTGTTTTCTTCTCTGTCTATTATTTTGGCATTTTTTAGGTCTATTATATGGTCATTTTCCTGAACATGATAAGCTATAACTGATGTGTTTATAACACAGTTCTTAATATCTCTTTTGAGTTTTATGAACCTTAGCTGTAATGAGCATTCTGTTTCCCCATTTTATTGTTTATTACATTCACACCGAGTGCTATAAACCACATTCTTTGTGAGAGGACTGGGAAGTAGGGATTTACCTTCCTAAGCCTGTCACATAGTGTAGGAGGACTTAAGAAAACTACGGTGATGTTAAGTTTATTTATTATCCTATGAAGTTTTTCTTCTAGACTTGATATGTAAAGAAGAAATGTCTTTTTCTTTTCATTGTGAGTTTCAGGTTGTGGTTCAATAGTAGTTGAAACAGATGAACCATATAACAAACACTGACGAGACAGGACAAATTGTGACTCAGCATGTCTACCACTAGGTCTAATAAATTTGGGACAGGGAACCAAAAAGGTGAAAGTTTGATGTTGAGGGGAGTTGCAAATGCAATAGAAAGGAAAGTCCCAAAGTGGAATAAATTCATTGAAGGAACTAGAAGATGTAAGAACCACTCTGTTGGAAGGATACAGTTTGAGCTAGAGAAACAACCAAATTACCACTGAATTCAAAGCTCCCAGAATATGGTACACTAGCAACATGTTGTTGTAAGCCCAAAAAAGGAACTCAAGAATAAGAAGGTAGGGGGGTCCCATAAGTGAGTATCTCCCTGTTGATTAATGTAAGAAACAACAATGAAATTGTCAGAATAGATCATAACAAGATGTCCAGACAGATATAACAGAAGATGGTGGCAGGAACATTGAAATGTCCTCATCTCAAGGAAAATGATGTGGAAAGACTTCTCCTCTGGAGGTCAATTATCAGAAATTGTGAAGGTATCCAGAGCCACATCCCATTCAGCTGCAGAGGCATTCATGAACAGATGCAAGTCTGGGTGAAATGGAGGAAGAGGAATGCCCAGAGTCATGTGTGAGTGATCAAGCCACTATGACAAGATGAAGTGAAGGTAGACAAACAAGAAAATACCCTGGATCTCTGAACATACACTAATGATCCATCAGAATCCAATGAAGAGGACACAAATGAGCTTATCACAAAGAGAGAGACCAGAGCATCCAAAAGAGACAAAATCTCTCATGTAGGAAAAAAATAAGGCATGAGAGCTTTGGTTAACAGAAGCTCCATGTCTCAGATGTAATGGCTGAACTTACCCAGCAGGAAAAAAGTTGAGAAAGACACCCCAAATGAATAAGATACTGGGTTATGACCAAACTTAACCAACCCAAAGGGAAAAGGTTTACAGTGAAAAGACAAGATAAGTGTCTGTATGGACCTGTGTGACACAAAGGTCCTCTGAAAAGGGAGTTCCTAAATGCATAAGTCAAGCTTTTCAAGGACCAGAGTCAAAAGGTGACACCAGACACCTCTGAGCCCCACAATGGCTAACCTGTCAGGTAGCAGAAGAAAAAGCATGATAGGGGATGGAGATAAAGAAATTGAGCAACGAAAAACAAAGGTGAACAGACTGAAGACAACAAAGAGACCAAATATGAGAAGAATATCCCCAACCTGGAAAAGGAGATTAAAGGGACTAAAACTTGAGGAAAGATGGATCCCAACCATAAGTCATAGAATAAGAGCAACTGGGATTAAGCATGCAATTAAGACAGAAAAAAATCAGCACAAATGCAAGTACCAGGTGAGGAGAAATGAAAGTCAAAAGATTGAGGCTTGAGTAGAAAGCTATCCCTAGAACCAGTAGAAACAACTGGAGAAAGAGAAAGAATATCACATACCTGAGTTATCAGAATGGCAAAAATAGAAGGCTAGGTTATCCAATCCTCAGCCAGGAAAGAAGAACCAGCAGTACAAGCAGGCAGAAGAAAGGCTGGTCAATCTTGTCCATAGACAAGGCAGGCTCAACAGAAGATACAGAAGCAGGAGGCTAAAAATCCTGAATCAAAGCTAAATAATGCAGAAAAGACCCAACCACTTTTTGCACAGTGGCACTAATGCTGGTCGCTTGTAAAGTGCCTCCAGTCACCACTGAAGCAGTAGGAGAGAACCCATGTTGAAGATGGCCTGTACCTTGGGAGGTTTCAGTAACATAGATACAAAACTAATTGTCCAAAAAAAACCATGAAACTAATGTTTTCATTAGAAATCAAGAAAAAAATAAAATTAAAAAACATAAAATGGCAAAAATTGAAGTGATAACTGAAAGTTAAAATAAAGCACAGTGCAGAAATCCTATTATTCTATAATCTTTTTCTAAAAAGAACATGACTGAAAAGTACAGTGCAAAGGGAAAAAAAAAGAGCTTTTCATTTAAACAAAATGCTGAAGGTGAGTACTGCAAAAGGAAGACATGTTACCCTCCTATTGGTGAAGGGATATAGTCTAATTTGATTGTGTCATAGACTAGTGAGTTCACGTTACTGCATGTAGGTGTGACAGCTCATTCAAAAGCTTGGTCCATACAAAAAAATTTTGAACAATGGAGTATTAGAAATCAGTTCTGTGGAGAGGTGAGCAGTTTGTTTTAAAGCTATAATTTCTTTTCTGAGAAAGGAATGATTAATAAATGTTCATTGGCTTCTTCAATGTAAAATGTAATCTAATAAAAATGAGCTAAAAAGCTAATCCAATTTTATTTCAATTAAAGAACAAGACTTAAGAAAAGAATTAATTAGGTCAGTCAAGGTCACCACTATGACAATAGAAATTTATTTTTCAGGTACCAGTACCTAGTTTTGTTGGTGGCAACATATATATATATTAAACAGACTAAGGTCTACCAAAACAAATCTATTCTAAGAATATTGTATAATAGATTTTTTTAATTTTTTACTAATTACCTTCATCAAAGGTGTTCTTCCTTCACCATCTATTACATCAATAAGAGCTTTATGGGCAATAAGATATTCCACAATAGATTTATGTCCTTGTGCAGTTGCTAGATGTAATGGTAATCTGAAATTATAATACTTACATTATAATATAAAATCAAAAATGTATTTACAATAATACTTACCTCCACTCAAACTTATAGCTATGACTCAACTGCCAGGGTTTCTTCCTTTGCTCATCTAAGCATTGATCTGATTTTTTCTTGCTTGCTTCAGTCTTTTATACCCAGTATTTATCTTGTGACACTCTTCACCTGTGTCAATGCACCCTCTATCCTGGTACTGTATATAAACTCCTCATTCAGATAATGTTATCACTTTTTCAAGACTGACTCAATCCCAGTCTCTTAACACTGGCTTTTAGTGGGAAGGAAAGCATGAGAGTAGGTAAGTGTTATTTCAAATACATTTTCGATTTAAGAAAATATTATCTTCCAAAACATACATACTTCCACACTACAGCTAGAAACCTACATTGATTAGAAGAGGGGGCCAATGAAGGCATTATCCATATAGATCATGGGTGTGTTAATAGAACATTGGCACCCTAGTGAGGAAATTGCACTACATCCAGAACTTAATTCTTGTATTGTGGGTGGAATTTTACATAAGTTATCATCACTATAGGTCAGGCCCCAAAAAGACAGCTGAGGTTTCACTACTCCAGGTTGGAATTAAGGGATCATGGTTCCTTATATCCCATGTTGGTGGCTAGGGCGATTAGACTGCAAACTTTATATGTATATACTTACCAGTGGATCCCAACCTGTAGCCATAGAGTGATGTGTTCCGAGTCACTGGAATCACAATGAGAAAGTATGCAACACTGAAGTGGACAAACCTTTTCCTCAACCTCAAAAGGCAACACCCCAGGTTTGGAATGACGAGATCGTACATGCCTTACTCAACCGGAGAAAACAGAACACATCCAGTTTGGAATCATGAACACCCGTCCTCTTGCCCCAACCATGTGGGCAAGGTACATTCCACTTACCCCTGGAAATATGGGGAGGACATGGAACAATCCATGCTCAACCAATGACCCAGGATGGGACAACTCTGCATTTGGAATTATGAGGAGACAGTGAACCCTCTTCCATGAACAACATACTGAACCAATACTGATCAAAAAGAAGGGCCATGCTCAACCCAACCGAATAGCCGAGCATCAAATCTGAACCAATATTACTAATAAGCTCCCACTGAGGCTGCTAATACTCCTACCAACATCTGGCAAAAAACATCCAGGGACCCAGGTAGGAGGACCCCCAACTTCACCCTCTTCTCCAAGAGTAGAGGAAGCCACTCTAACACTCTGGATGAAAATCTGCTGTCTACCACCCCAGCAACTGGAAACCTGGTGTGGTAATGACTCCCAAGCTGAGGAACAGTGCTCTGGAAACAGTGCAATAGGTGAATGAAGTTCCCTAAATTTTTAAAAGCAAACTGATGCTGATTTATTTAATTCAAAGATTGGCAGGGATGGGCAGGATCCCCTTATGCTTTACTCTTATTAGTCAATGAGTGGCAGTACAGCATAGTACAGTAATACCACCCAGTCAGCCTCTAGGTGGTCTTATGGAACACCTCATTTTCACAAGAGTCTGTTTCAACATATATACAGTATATTGAATTTGTGGTTGCTAGTGTAGAATTGGTTTGATAAAAGCACACCTGCCACAGGGTGGGGTCCAGTGAAAACAGAGGTGACCCAGTAAAATAAAGAAACAAGAGGAGTAAAAAATACTCACCTCTCTTTACAATTTAGCTGATGTGGTCAAAATAACCATGGGTGGAGTCGAAAACACTCAGAGGAAGAAATTGCCAGATCATGCAAATAATGTGAGATAAAAGTATTGGGAGAAGTTCACATACCAGCCCACACAATGACCTCTAGCATGCAATTCAACTGGGTAGCTAGGGACATAGAGATGCGACGAATCTGATAAGACATGACTTGGAGAAGCTTCCTCACCTGCAAAGAAAGCCCAGAATAAGCAATATGGATCAATTTTTGAACCCACCTTGTCAAGGTAATCAGGGATAAATCTTGGGTAGCTGAAGGATCCCCAATGAATAAAAAGTCATTGTCTATCACCTCTAAAGGAGTTAGTGCAAGACACATAACACTTCAGGGCCCTCACTCGACATAACAAGCAATCGGTGTCTCACCAGTCATAAAGGTGAGAAAGAGTGAGAAGGATTTATCTCCTTTCCTGGCTGCCAGAGTCTTAGGTAGAAAGGAACTGTCTGGGTATAGAAGGATGTAAGTAGAGTGATAAAGAGTCCTGTGCACATGCAGTGCAAACAACTCCAACCAACACATCCGTAGGCCAGCAACAACATAAACTTTAAGGAAAAGGTGATACATGGTACATGAGGTTAATGGCTCAAATGGATGTTGATATAAAGCATGTAATACCACCTTAATATCCCAGTTAGGTAATTGAAAAGGCCTTTTCAGAAGAAGGACTCAAAATGGCTTGAGAAGGCGGGATAGCACTGTGGACTCAAATAATTTCAAACCTTTTGAGTATCATAATGTAATCCATAAAACTGCCTTATATAAGCCAATTGTAGAGTGCTAAACCCTTGTCTAAAAGCCAGGTCAAAAAACGAGCTATGATTGGCACATTTTGACAAATTGGGATCAATTTCCTCGTGAGACACCACTGTTGGTAAGTGCACCATTTCCTTTGATAAATGTCCATTGTGGGGCTATGGAGAGAATGAGACAATTACATGGCAACTCGATCGCTGTTCATGATCCACTGGTCAAGCAGTGACCACTGAAGGGATCTCATATGTGCTCATCCCAAAGGAATTAGATATTTAAGTGATACCTGCACAGTGAAAGAAGGAGACATGAGTAAGAGTCTGACCGCCTGTTCCATAGCATGGAGTCGGATGGGAGTTAGCAGAGCCTGACATAGATACGTATTGAAAAAGACACCCAGATGGAGGATGTATAGAGTTGGCATGACAACAGATTTCTCGGCTCTTATAGTAAAACCTGCCTTGATGGCTTCTGAAACGAGAATCTGGGTTTGACATTCCGCCAACTGATGAAATGGTACCATGAGTAACCAGTCATCCATATAATGATGTGTGCACATGCCTAAAGAATGAAGGTGATGAGAAAAAGCTCATACTATTCTGCAGAACACATATGGCACAGATGCTAGCCCAAAGAGTAAAGCCCTGAACTGCAGTATTGACTCTTGTGCACAAAACGTAGATAGCAGCAAGACAACTCCGATATTGAAATACGCATCAGGGGTAGAGCCTTGACTCCCTGTAGGAGCCAAAAAAAAAGTCATGAGGCAAACGGGTGACCTCAATCCATGATTCCAATGCCTCTGGAACACCCACAAACATCAAGGGATGAAGAAAGAGGGCCTTATGTAACTCACAGAGGGCAGCAGCCAGTAGACAAATGCCCTCCAACAAGTCCCAACAACATACCAACCAAGAAACTAAAGAAAGAGCAGAAGCTGACAATCGTACCAAGGTAGATGTCAACAAAGATCCCAACTTGTCATCAAATTGATGTGGTGAACACTGAGAGGCTTCTGACAAAATTTGAATGGACAAGGCATAGCTATCCCTTCACAAAACTGAGTGGTAAACCTCCACTCATGAACAGCAATATCAAGTGATGAAGGAAATACTAAGTATTTGCCCTCAGACCTTTCTGCCATCAAGGAAGGTGGAGACTTATAGGTAACTGGGAAAACACCAGAACATCACATACCCCATTGAATAACTGAAAGAAAAAGAACTATAGGTGGCCAATTCAAATTGGTCTCATGAGAAGCCAACCTAGTAAATGAAGGTGCTTGAAAAAGCAAGTCTAAATTCTCTCCAGAATGTCTGGAATTGTCAGCAAAAGAAGCCTCAAAACTCCCTGAAGAAACACTCCCGGAGAACCTCAACCAAAAATGCCCCCCTCCCCAACTGTTGAGCGACACTAGATATCAGAAGTGGGATAGCAGAGGTCTGATTAGCCTCCAGGCCAGAAAGAGTAACTCGGCAATTCACAGCATGTCGTAACAAAAAAATGTTGTTTTTTTTATGTAAATCAACTAGACAATGTGATAATTGCACCCAAGGACTTTAACAGTCGCAGTACTTTTTTAGAGAAACCCATTCCTAATTGCTTTGTCAAGAAAAAGTGATAACATTATCTGAATGAGGTGCTTAAAAACAGTACCAGGATGGAGGGTGCACTGATGTAGGCCAAATGAGTGGGGTATAAAAGACTGGAGCAAGGAAGAAAAAATCAGACCAATGCTTAGATGGGCAAAGGAAGAAACCCTGGAAGTCATGTAATAGCTATAAGTGGGAGAAGAGGTATGTTTTGAAATGTAATTTATTACAAGCACAGTATAATTATACAAGTAAAATTTTTTCTCGAGTCTTTTTATCCTTTCTAGCAAGTCTATACTATTTTTATGAAAAAGATCAAAATTACCAAAATACATTGTTCATAAATATGGTTTAACTTTTGCCTTATTAAAATACAACACTAAGTTCTTGACTCTTATGCTCAAAACTTCAGTTCATAAATTAAAGTATTTTATTTGTTTCTTTCAAAGCCAAAATACTACAACTAGAAACTGCTTGCCAGGTGTTAAGTTAAAGGACATTATAGAACATGTTTTCTGTTTACTTGCTGGTAGAAGCAAATGACTTAGAAAGCTGTAAGTTAGAACAACTGCTTAAAAATGTATAAAAAAACTCCTTCAGAGGTTTGAAAATAGAAACAGACATATAACCCTTTTGAGAGAAGACTAAATAGTAAGATGATCTGGGAAGGTCTAAAGAAATTAATTAACCCTCTTATTACACACAGGTCAAAGGGTGAATATTAAGATGTTTTAGATACTTATTTTCAAATTTTAATTAAACAACTTTATGATCAATTGGCATCAAAACAATTTTCAATTGCTCCAGTAATCAATTTGTCAAAATTCTTATTGTCATGACAACAATTAGCAAATAAGAATTAACGTTTCAAATTATTACTTTTTGTGATTAATCCAACTACCTGAGTAAGCAAAATATTGCTATTCTGTTTGTTTGATGTTAAGTACAAAGCTAAATAATGGGATAATTATGCTCTGCCCAATTTCAGCCTCATAATTGTTTTTTTTTACTAATTTTTGTTCAATTTTAGCAAGGTGGAGGGGTAAGGTCATGATTTGAAGATTTTGAGTTTGATTCCCATTGCCACCAAACTTGCTCACCCTGTTTTTGTTATGGCAAAGCTACTAAGGCTATCTGCCACTAAGTTCAAACTGCCAACTGAAGGGAAGATAACTAGCTGGCAGCACCTACTACCAACTTTTATTTTTAACTGTATATACCTTGATTCGATGAACACTGTACTAATTGATTAATCAAATATAATGTAATAATGGATGACCACATATATATAAATATATGTGTGTGTGTGTGGTCAAGTATATAGTGTAATGAACACAGCCGAATAAAAACAATACATACCTATCATGCAAACAATTATACTTATGATTGTTTTCGAGCATTACATATTACTATTTGCAACTAGACGAACTTCATACTAACATAACCTAATCAAACTTAGGTTATCACAGCCTAAGCTAACATAATCTGACTAAACCTAATCTAACCTATCTGATGTAGAAAATATAGTTTGCCTATTTCTGCTGAAAATTCTTTTAATCAGGCAATTGTAAATAACAATTAATATTTATGTATTGTTACTCATGCAAGAAAAACATTATTGCTTAAGATGAGAAAATAAGTGGGTCAGATTTGAATGCTTATTCCGCGTACTTTAAAACTAATGGCTTAGCCTCTTATGCCACTATGTCTTGCTATGCTGCATCACTCAGAGCAAATACATACATGAACAATCAAGGTGTAGCCATGTATATATATATATATTGAGCATCAATCCCACATACACCCCTTTTTTTTAACAGTACATGAACGACCATCATGTATACAGTCATTACCATTCTTTACACCCTTGAATACAAAATGTTTTCTTCACCATTCCTCACTATGGTGTTATGCCAAGTATACAATTATTCATCTCCTAGACTATAAATGTTCTAATGTTCACACTATTTCATTCAAACACCTTTCTATCATACACATATCAGAATGTTATGAAATCTGTTCTGACCACAGCTTCAACCCGAAACTTACAGCCAAGGAAATGTCCACCACGGTAGTGTGGGGGAATAGCATACACAAGTGTTCTGAGACTGACTTCTTACCGAATGAAATAATCAACCTCATTTCCTAGGTGGACAGCTTTTAATCCTGATTATTATATATTTCTCCAACTTAAATAGTATTCACCCTTGAACATACAACACACAGCATAACTCAGTATCTTTAACTTTAAGCCACCAGGACAGAAGCACTATTACACACACATGTAACACACCAGGAAAACCAATGACCCAAGCATGTACAAAGATGATTTTATTTAAACAAGGAAATTCTAACTTGTGCAGAAAACACCATCACTTTTCTCAAAAACCACGTTGAGAATTGATGATTTACTGCTAACTTTTCCAATGATATTCTAAATTACGTACAACAACAGAATTCATACCTCACACTCAACATGCAATAGAAAAATGGAGATCAAATGAAATAGAGCTATATAGACTATTATTTTTAAATTATCCTTTTATACTTATACTTATAGTCAGATTATAAAATATGCTAAATCATAAATGACAAGTCTTTCAAAGCTGCAAAGTAATAACAATTTGTTGCAGTCATAATTTTACATTGAAGTATCACATTCAAAATTATGTTTTTAAACATATATTCATATATACTTACCATCCATTTTAAATCAATATAAACATAACTAAAATCATTCATAATTACTTTACCTGTTTTCATTATCACGGGAATTTACATCTATTTTTTTTATATGTTTCTTTACTTTATCTTCACTTCCCAGCCAGCATGCTTTGTGGAGTTTTGTAAACCTTTTATCCTCCGACTCTAAAGTTAAATCTACTTTATAGCCTAAAGACGTACATAAAGAAGTTGAATTAATATTCCAGGTCGAACCCTGAGATGCAGTGCTTGATCGCTGATTAGCAAGGCCAGTATTGCTGTGATCACTAAAAGCGTTAGGTTTAGCTTCCTTTTTACTGGACATGAATATCTTTGTGGCCTTCAGTACTTTCTTCATTGTAATTTATATAAATCGGCTAGTGAATAGAATATGTAAATAACTTAAGTTAAATGTATATATGAATACAATTTTAGTTCTTCATCTTCTTTAATCTATTTTCTCATCATCGTATATCAGCTGCTAAATTTCATAAACAATTTATACATTACGTATATCCCTAGCCCTAACTTTCAAATCAACAGTTCAACACTCGCATTATATAAATGCCGTATCCGACTGTTTATTCTGCTCTTTGTTTGCAAGTTGTCAATTGGCAACACTACAGCCGCCACTTCGTATAAGTAATACTTATGATAATTAGGTTATAAAACAAATTTTATATATAAATTTGTATCTTAATTTACAAATGGAATGTTTTTTAGATTTTAAATCCAATTTTACTTTATTTCATGAATAGGCCCAATAATTTACATGTATCTGCTAATAATCTAGGCTCCTAAGGATTCATTATGACTCAATATAAGCACTGATCATTATATTGAACTGAATTTAGACATTGACCCTTTCAAGCAAAGTAACATGCAGTTTTATTATTGCTGTTTGTTATTAAGCACAATGCTACACTAGGGTTATCTATGCTCTGCTCACCACGAGTATCAAAACCCGGTTTCTAGCGGTATAAGTCCACAGACATGCCACTAGGTAGCCTGCAGTTTTTAAACTGGTTATCCTATTTTCAGGTGCTGAAACACAATATAGTTTTCAGGTTGTAACGTGTATTTAATTTTAAAACGTCATTGTATGTTACATGAGATTGTAACGAGAGACCAAGTGCTAGTAAAGTCACGTTTTTTGTGTTTGCCCCCCATAAAAAATACTAATACTACAACTAACATATTACATAAATAGGAAAAAATAAATAAAATTTGACAGTGATTATTCCAGCTAGTAATTTTACTGATTGTTTGGTATAATTACAAGCTCTAACGATAATATATTGTTACGTCTCCGTTCGTTAGTTAATTTCTGT